GGCGATTTAATTAATTAAGAGCTTATTAATTAGCTTAATTAAGTAATTGGTTAAAAGGTATGTCTTTAAGTATAAAGCTTGTTTTATTTAAAAGGTTTAAGAAGTGGTGGCGATTAGGGGTGTTATGTAATGTACGTTTTCCATATTAGGTTAGCGTTGCCGTTTTAGGTAAGCTTTGGGCCTTATAACCTATTAAATAATAGCGTTGAATGCTTAGTTTATTAGGCTAGCTAATGTTTATTTTACGGGAGGGAAGGCCCCTATTTATAGTTATTATCCTTCGTATAGTGGCAAATATATGGGGAAAAGGATATCCCGTATTAATAATAGCCTAGATATCTAGAATATTCCAACATTCCCGGTGGTCACACGAAACTTGGGAATATCCGGGGTGTTCACACAGTTCAGACCGGTGTCACCCAGTCCCCCGCATTGTGCCGCGGTTGCTGCTCGGCCTTGCATCATGTTGGCATCGGCCGGAGGAAAGAGTCTGGTAATCTTTTTCAGCCGGAGACTCGTCAGCTTCGCGCAAATTAAGAAGCTTCTTGAACATTGGGGGCTGCCAAGTCACCTCTGGCGAGATTGTTTCTGGGAACGTGAAGCTCGTAACGTTTCCATCTACTGCGTTGTAGTCGGCATTGCGCAAGTCAGACAACATGATGGGACCCAGATCAACGTCAAACTCGGCGTTTCGCGGCCCGTAGATGACGATTGCTAAGGCAGGTTAGTGCCAGCCCAGCCAAAATCATCTCAATATCTGAATCGAATAGTCTTACGTCCAGTCAGTCCATCAGCATATTGCCCGCTGTAGTGAGAATGCCACCAACACGACCCCTATGACCAAATCTCAACATCAGTTGGTAGATCCTTAGTTGATCTGAACTTGCTGCTCGACTCACAGGGCGTTGACTGTGGCGGGTTAGCCGAAAGAAAGCAGTTGAAAGTTTGAAGACTTACGCCTTAAACCTGTACGTAAATGATTTATCAGGGGCTATCGGACATTGCTGTGATAAACCTCATCTTAGTCGAACGCCTCATCCACAATGTTGATGTGCGCTACGTACTGTGATCGATGGGACTCCGTCCATCCATGGTGTACCTTGCTACGGGAGACTGCGGATTTTAGCTCAAGTAGACTGAACATGGTAAAGGATGAGGTTAGTGTTACCCATGCCAATGAATTGCGGTGCCCTCTTCTGGTCCAGCAATGTTATTGGTGACTTGAACTTCGATCCAATCACCCCAATTCGCCTCAATCATGGGCTAAGTGTATGTGAGCCATCATGCTGAGGGAAGAAGTTGAGTAGGGAATTGCAGAGTTGCACTGACGCCTGGGAACTGATTGTTGACAAGCAGCGCGGGCTTGAGCAAGCCAGATGGGGCAATTGTCCCTCTGCTAATTGTAAGGTTATCCTGTCTGGTCACGCCTACAGGAAAGGTCTTGGAATTAGCACGCTGTTCTTTTGGCCATCAAGTGTCTTCCTTCCAGACATGAAGAGAATTACCTGTATCGGGGATGTCGATATGGGGTTCGTGGATTCGGCCGTTCTATTGCCCCAAGGAACAGTGCCAGGAGCCTGTTGACACGCGTGTGAGCATTTTGGCTTCCACAGAGGGCCAATAGGACCGTCTCGAATAGGTAGAGAAAGAGGACTGACATTTGGATCGGCGAGATAGAGGGGTAGTGTTGGAGCACCCAAGGTGCCCAAAGAACTCGTGGAAACGTCCACTACTTTGCACAAATTGTTAGCCCAGGTATCCCGTCTTTGTCTTTTCCCACAGAGAACAGTACCAGCATATCCAAAGCCCACAAGAGCAACTAGAACCAGCATAAAGTCGCAAGGGCTGGCCATCGTATTCGGAGAGGCAGTGAACGGCCACAACAAGGTAACTTGAAGTAAGGACGATGCCAAGTGTTCGGCACGAATGAGCTTCTTCCGTGTTGCGAATAAGAGCTGGACTCGCGCAGAGGGACCAATACCGTGCCTTGGGGCCTTCTATTTAATCCCCTCTTGGAAGCATGGGATTTGACATCAGCACCAGGTCCTGCAGGTCAACAAGCCCACTCGTCAATTGAGGTCTGCCTCAACTAAGCTCGTGCATGCTAGTTCCCGCAAAGCTTGTTTCTGTTCGTCTCAGAGTTTACGGGGCCACGTCTGTGTTTATACAGATCGACAGGGGATGCTATAGCCCCTCAGCCTATCAAACTCAATCGCAAGCCGAAAGCGGCAATTCTTTGCGTCCTCATTTCTCTCTGGCGCCTGGACGACTCGTTCATGCTCTCGGCTGTCAATCCGTCAACGATCAATATCCACATATCTGTTATCCCCTCTTTTAATTGATGTGACAGTGATCCAGGTGCCGTTCCATCAGTCCAGTTTCCCCGTTCAAGATTGACGGCAAACTGTCTCGTCTGTCCACATGCAAAGCCCTCGGCTCCGAAAGCCCTCGGCCTTGCGTTGACCCTCAAACACCCTCTGTTACCTCTGGTTGAGCGCATGTGAATATTGAAACAGGGACAGGAAGTTTTTGTACCATACGGCAAAGGTTTTGGGTGTCATGTATTACTCGAGTTGGCAGGCGCTTGATCTTGCCTTGAATTCCTTTACAGATGTAGCTGATAAAGCTTCTACTTCGTAGCCCCCCCCCCAGCCAGATCTAAGCCCAACTTCAAAAAAGAAATCTTGATTGGCGGTGTCGATGTCCTGAGGTTTGAGGATCGATCAGAAACACACATAACTGGTAGCAGAACAGCGAGTTGTAGTTACTGTTGGACGTAGTTCTGTCTTCTAGCTTTCTCTGCCACCGCATTTGCCTGTCAGAACAAACCTTTTAATTCCATCCTTGATATATATCCAGTAAGCCCACTTTGGGCACTAGCTATGCACTCTGATAGTATCTTATGCCTTCATATAGGTTGCGTTCTGAGCTCGCGATTGTGTCTTGAAAGCCAATAGGGGCCGGTTCAGTTCCACTGATGTGCCATAGCGTCAACGTCGTCACGGTCTCTGGCCAGCTCGCCGGCCAGCACGTAGCATCTGGCCAGAGAGGCAGTGGTGCCCCGGAGTCAGGAATGGGACAGTAGTAGGCCTCCCCAAGCAACACCACGCGATCGCTGTGCCACCGCTCCATCTTAATCTGAGCAGACCCGCTCACATAGAAGAAGTCATTCTCGGTCTTCAGCATGCCTTCGAGAAGCCATTCCGTCCTCCATCCATCGCCATTGAATTCCTCGGCCCACGTGGCCTTCTGATCCTCAACGCGCTTGGACGTGGACTCGACCAGCACTGGTCTTGGGGTTCACGGTGCTCAGAGCCACCTGAGTGAGGGGTTGGTTTCCCGCGCGAGTGGCGACCATCCGTCTGCCAGGAAGATAATACATTCTAGCCATTTGCAGCTGGTTTTCCTCAGTATCCCTCGGGACGTTAAAGAGAGCAGTGTACACTCCAAGGGAATGGAACGCCGCTCGACTTGTCTCCTCGCCAAATACCATCCGACAGCGTGCGAGAGTTGATCCCGTCCGCACCGAAGACCAAGTCAAAAGTCCCCGCCGAGTCGTCTGAGATATTTATACAATAACCTCGTTCATATGCTGTGGCTGGTATCTGGTGACTTACATTTTTCATTAGCTGAATATACTATGTCAGAGTTTTATTATTAAACTCACTTTATCACATTTACCTTTAGTTAATATAAATTATATAAATATAACTTTAAAAAGAAAAGCATTTTAAAAATATTAAAAATAATGTTTATAATAACCTTCTGCACTTAAATAAGTACTAATTTAACAAGACGAACTCTAAGCCAATATCAGCAAAATGTAGAATCCGCTAATTATTACTTCAGAAATGTTTGAGATCTATAATCATCAAATTGAAGCTCCTGCTATAACTAGAAGCGCCAGTGGTTTAGCGGTAAAATCCATCGTTGCCATCGATGGGCCCCCGGTTCGACTCCGGGCTGGCGCATACGCTTTGCAGGTTTCCTTTTTTGATCTATTCCGCACTGCCCTAGCAGTTGAATTATAACATGATGAAGGCGGCATGGTGCTGATTAGCATCTTGCTTCGAAACAGCTTTGGACCTTGTTTTCGGAACCCGAACAGCCGCCAGCTTATTGTTCTGTTTTTCAGAGCAGTCTCCTAGCGTTTGGATATTGCTAATCCCGCAACTGAATAATAGTGTGAAAGAAGATCCCCAAGATTGTCACGGCACAAGAAAGCCTATTGCACTAGACACCCAAAAGAGGGACGTTGTAATGCCGAGAGCATTACCGTGGCTATCACCTATAGAGCGTACTGTAACAAAGATGGCAGCGAATTTAGACCCTTTTTCATCGAGCGACATAATCGAAATGACGTTGGAGAGGCCAATGGGTACTTCGCGTACAGACAGGACTTCTTTATTAATGAACCGGGTGGGTGAGTGGATCGGAGGACAGGAGAGGTTATCTTTTTCAGTGCTGGCTGCTGTTGAACGAACGATGTCAAATGGAAAAATAGACGAGATCCAAAAGCTCGAACTTTTGGTGGACCGAACTCCAGGCACTACCCTCTTCGACGGACCTATGTTGGACTATTTGACGATGGTATTTCCTTGAGCAATCCGTTGCTCTTGAAACTTGTGGAGGACTACTTCAATTCAATCCGACGAGGCGAATCATCTCGCGATTCTCTGAAAATGTAATAGCCGGGATTCTTCTGAACGAAATTGTTCATACTCTTGAGCACCTCACTCATAGGCTGAGAGCGTAACCATATTTGTAACCATATTTGTGGACAAAAGAAATAGAACCTCATTTTCAACTACAAATGATCACTTCCGAGAACATTGGCTTCGTCAGCGGGCGGCTTCTGGGATCGAAGTAAGAAGAGGTCGTCGGTGCCGGCGGAATAATGTCACCATCTGTGCATCGACGCTGAGAACACTATCATATTCCAAAACCCGTTCACTTATGTCAGTCTCGGAAATATGCGAACAAAGCTAGAGCGGCCTTTACTACTCGATGTCCCACGACTCTAACGCACCCCTCTTGCTGATCTTAACATCCACTCCCTCCTTCACTAGGCTCCGTCTCTCTTTTAGTCTCCTCTGGTCAATCCAATTACCGTGCACCTGACTCTTAACGTGGAATGGCAATTTGATAATGGCCTTGGGCTTCTTAAAATCCTTTGTGTCCAAAAGAATGACCTCGCAGAGATTTGCGGTCCTCCTCTCCACCATACACATGACCCACCCATCACCTTCCTCAGCGTCTTCTGAACGAGGGATGAAGATCGGCTCCTGGCATATTCCATCGAACCCTGTCCAGTAGATCTTGGTCTCGCCGGTGGAGTAGCGGTGCATAGCCACACCGTCCAGCCCGCCCCAGACGAGATGCTCCTCCCCTGGTGGGATTGGGTCTCGCTGGTCAGCTGGGGTCATGACGTTGATCCAGGAAACATCGTATGGCTTGGACAGGAAACGCTCATCGACGCGTGGGAACTCAGCCGGGATGTCCAGTACGACCTCGGGCTCGCTTGCCAGCTTGCTCCCGGTGGGCTGGGTCAGGTCCAGCTTAAAGCGCACAAAGTCTGCCTTCGCATCGGGTGCTGGCGTCCTCCCGTCGTCGGGCGGGAAGAATGGGAACCCGTTGTCGTGGACTCTCGTTGTCTCCACGAAGAGCGTGTTCCCGTCATCTTCCTCCCAGGCGCCGGCGGTGTGGATGAGCATGACGTTCCGGTCGTGGTAGACCCTGTACTCGCCCTCCACCCCTCGGGGAGCTTGGTGCTCTTACGCCTGGGGACCAAGATGAAGGTCGCGGGCAGGTCGTAGCTCCAAGCCCAGTGGTGCCCACCTTTCTTCATCCTCTCCACGTTGGCCTCGAACGGCCACTGGACGAGGATCAGCCAGTTCGGGGTTATGGCGCAGTCGTGGACTGGGCCACACCAAGGGCTCTTGACCCACTGTTCGTCCTTCTTCTTTCCGTCTTTGTCCAGAGCGTAGACGACAATGTCAGTGCTTGCGAGTCCTTTGGCCTCGTATCCATGGACCACGAGCTCGTCGCTGAATGGATCGATTTTCTAGACAATTGGTTAGTTGGTGGCCCAAAGCAAATGAAGTCGGGAGAAGGTGTTACCGGGTGGGCAGTGAAAGTCTTTGACTTGATTCCTTGGTCCCCGAAAGGATCATATGTGATGGTATCGAGGGTGTGCGGGTCGACTTGATATGGAAGCCCTCCCTCCTTCAAGGCCAGGAATTTGTCCGCCCACAGCACCAGGTTGGTGTTGGCTGTCGAGTCCACTGCCGCCCGCACGCATGGGTGGTGAGAGAAGGGATTGCGGTATAGTCCGAACATGGCTTTGCCAGCTTTGCGTTCGATTTGAAAACGCTCAGTCTCGACGTAGCGCACTTTCAAATCAACCTTCCCGTTTTCGAAGCGCAGCGCGGTAATATTTCCATCGCCGTCAAGTGGTACGTTGCCGGGATGAGGAGGCACGAATGGATCGACGGTTACCCGATAGAAGGTGCCATCGATCTCTGGAGGAATATCGCCCAGGACAACAAGGTCTGCCACCTCGCCTTGAACGCGACACGGCAGGTTGGACCCGTAGAGGTCCTCGGAATTGGGCCATTTGGACTTGAGGCTGACCCCGTTCTTCTGTTCTGGTGCAGCCTCGTTCCGAGTTCCGATACGGCTTGGTGCCATGATCCCGTTAGAAACTCGTCAGGGTTGCGCGCTGGCTGTGTTGTGAACTCGGCTTCTTTACAACGTTCTACAATCATCAATCCCTTTGGAGAATCGGATCGCGACCTTACTTTTACGTGCGATCTGGGGTCCCACAGACTGAGCATTGACAGCCGGTCGTCCCGCCAGTAGTGGGTGTTTCCCCGCAAGTTGAGACGCTCACTTTACCGAGATGGTCGCAGCGGCGCACACGAAATGCTGCGACTGGCACTGAGTGAGTTGGAGAATGCGCCCTCGGTCTCAATTGTAGCCTCCAGCTTCTCCAGCTTTGTAACGTGTGGAATAGGGGAGGCTTGACTCGAGGGGTTCCGGATCAGAGGAGCGCGCGGGAAGCAAACCTTAGTATTTTGACCACGCGAGCGCTTGGCCATAGTGCCACCTGAGTGAAACGGCATGGACGCCTGCACAAGTTAGCGAGGACCAAGATGTTGAGTCGTGCCTGTGGACGCGTATTGGGGGACTTATCAATGGGTCCGGACTTACGGAAATATGTTGATTTGCACACTAGCCAAGTAATTTGGTAGACATTTGGAGCCACTCTTTATTCTATCTCTCGCCTTTGGTGTAGATGTCATACGTGGGCATCATTCTAGAACATCTGATTTGAAGCTGCTAAGACGGAGGGTGCGCATAACTTGGCTTCTCTGACAGTCTACTGCATAAGGCACCTTGAATGTACCTAGGTAGTTGACTTGCAGCTTGGTGTGCGGTGTCGCGTCTGTCGCGTCTCGGCCTGAGCGACAACGACCATCGAAAGGTAGCCAAGCGACCAACATTAGTCTGCCTGGGAATATGTTTCAATGCTGAAGCTTTTGCTCATCCAGAAATCTTCTGGAGATCATGTTCAGGCTAATCTCATAATTTTAACACTTAGACACTCGTGACTGGTCGCGATTGGTGCAGATAGTGAGCAGAGTAGTGGTCTCATTGAGCACGTGCGGAAGGGCTAACTAAAATCTGCCGAATGTCTGAGCACTTGGCCGCCAGCCTTTCGGATTCCTCCACGTTATCTCTCCAAGGGCTCTCAGCGTAGATCATGGTCACACGGATGAACCGTTGAGTCTCATGTGGGTGATGTCCGAGACTGGACGCAACCAGTCTGTGTCAAGCATAAATTTTGTGCATGAGAAACGAAAATCCACAACGGCTCAGTGTTCGGACGACCGATTCTCGAACCATTTGCTAGTGCATGGGCAGGATCTCACTAGCAGTATAGAGTTTGGAAGCAAAAGGTCCCATGAAGCCGCCCCATCCAAGTGTCCAAGTCTAAATCATAAATCATCTAATACACAGTCCAGAATTTTGCTCCGGCCTCTCCGTTTTGTGACTTCGTTCATGTGCTAATGTACAAATGTAACACAAAGTTCCAACGCATACTCGTTCGCGTCTCAAGCATTCGGCTTCGAGGTTGGCGGGTCCCTTCTTTGTGTGTGTGTCTAGAGCCTCGAAACTCCTGATGCACCGGTCCTGTATAAGAGCACCGGACGGGCATATTAAATATGCCAAAGCAACTTGCAACGATCATCACGCTGATAAAAGCTTCATCTCCCCTCGAGGCCCAATGTCCCAGGGAGTGCAACTGAACTGACATCCGTTGAGGCCCCCCAAAGGAAGCCTCGTGGTTGAGTACCTAGGGATGTCCTGGCCTTCCTGTTGCTTGCAGATCTGTGAAAGAAAACGAGCCGCGAACCATCGAGTAATTAAAGAGCCTTTCAGAGGGTATCCTCTTCCAACAAGCCCATCATCTGCTGGTTGGTGTGGAACCAACCTCCGAGCAGCATCCCCTGCTGCAGCATACCTGGAGCAGGCACGTCTTGATTGGACATCGGTACGCCCTCGAGGCCTGAATAGTCTTGCATGGTGAGACCAAGACTAGGCGCTGGTATACCAGCCCCCTCGGGGCCATCCCCGCCCTGCCTCATGTCCATTGCTCCCCCAGGGTTGAACCCCAGTGCATTAAGATACGCGTCGAATTCGCGACCTACGGATGCTTGCTCCTGGTTTTGCTTGACCTCGACATACTTCAGAGCCACGTTGTACAGGACATGGAACAGCCGGTGAAGCCGTGCTGTCGACTCGGAATCTCTTGACGCTGGCTCGAGAGAGGCGACGCAATCGTGAAGTCTGTCCAAGTCGCTCATGTTACTGGTCTCAATGACGTGGCAGAAAATGACAATGAATGGATTGAAAGGATTGTAATGAATCGTCCTAAAATTTGCTTTGGTTAGCGCGTGACCTTTGATGGTTCAAACTTGCAGATTTACCAATGCAAATAGAGTGTCCTGAACTGGGCGTCGTAGGGCCTCAGACGTTCCATACACTCTTCCTGCTCCTCGAGAGCCGAGCGTGCCGCGTCGACGCATTCTGGTGTGAAAGTCGAGGGGGAGCCGGGCGGAGAGGGGATCGCGCGATAGAGCAGTGTCAACACCGACCGATTTAATACTTTGTCCATCATGTGCATGAGTTGGTATGTGTCGATATCGAGGGCAGTGGCCCATTCTGGATGGCTGGCAGCCTGTTTCCACCATTCATGAGTCTAATAGTCTGAGCGTTGGGTTTGAAAAGGAGCTAGAGGTATAAGGGAAAGGGAATGCGTGTGGGTGAAGAGGGTTGCGACGACACGTAGGTCAATCCTGGACATCCGGAACGAAGAACACTTACATTCATATCTTCGCTGCGCTGCATTACTGCCATGACCTCGTCTGCCATGGCCTTGACCCGCGAGCGTCGAACCTCGTCCGACTGTCCTAAAGCCGCGGGGCTATACAACTCCTCGTAAGCGCGCCCTTGAATCCGTGCGACATGAATCCATGAGACGAAGCTTAGGTCTGCGAATGAGTAGGGCTCGGGGCCCAAACCAGGATCCGGAGGCAACACAGTTATATCCTGTTGACAACGGCGTGTTAGCAGCTTCTTCTTCAACCGGCCACTCCGCAGTAATGAGTTTTGGCTCGGAGCTCAGCAAACGTATCACTAATTACTCTCGGAGATGCAGTTGGGAGATTCTCACATAGTCGGGTAGATTTGAAGGGCGACCAAGGCGGAGTGAGAGGGCCTTGTCGATCACATAAGTGGTCCAGAATAGCCACTTTCTTCGGTTCCGAAAGGTATTCCTTTCGTTCGAGCCATTGTCTCGGTGAAGACCCAGGCTCAGACATCTCTGGGCTGAGGCTGAGCAAAATGACCAGGCCAAGGATGGCTTGGAGTTATCAATAGCATAGAAAGACTATAAAGACATGTCCTACATTAGCGAGTGGCTCAAACCGTTTCAGGCTGGAAAGGAATCATTTACCGCCATGATAAGAGCTTCTATATGGTCTTGATCGCCCGGGAAATGGAATGGAAGCGTTGAGAGACTTGTCTCCAGACTCTCACGGCAGAGACGACCTTCTTTGATCAGGTCTTCACGGCGGACATGAGTGCCAAGGTCTTGGTCGGGGCTCGCGATGCTGAGGATGAAGAAAAGCCAGTACAAGCCGATGCTGACAATGATGTAGTCTGCTTCCGAGGACTCAGATGAAAACAGGACCCTAAGGGCACGATCCGTGAAGCTCTCAATAGACATGATGCTGCATAGCCATAGGTAGCCCACGCGAGGATTGTCTGAGTTGACGGTCTAATCAGCCAGGTTCCCGAGGACCCCTGATATGTCCACATTGCTTCTCTCCGCACGAGGTGTGTACTCACCTTTTGCAATCCTCAGGCTAGCCATCGCTAGATTAGAATTGGGTAACATGCGCTCGTAGGGCTGGGCGGGCAAGGGAGCTTTGGCGTGGGGGAAGACGGCCTCGCGGACGTCATTGTGTGTTTTCCGGGCGTGGACAAGGGAACGAAGTGCACCTAGGGTCTCATCCATCTCGAGCCGGAAGTCCTGTAGTGGCCCAGCACGGAAGGCCTGTTCCAAGAAATTATTGGCAAAGTCATACTGCGCAGCCATGGACGACTCTCCAACAAAAGCAGGATCGGTGGTGTCGGTGTGTGGCTTGGGCGGAGCTAGTACGCAACCATAGCTCGACGTAGACGCCGGTACGGATGCTGGGGTAGGCGCAGAGTTGCAGGGCGTGTTATGGATGCCAGCAGTATGCTCACGAACGTGTGATATTTGAATGCTGGTCTGGTTGTCGGAACTGTGGGATGGTGAATCCACCTTCAGGTTTTCGAGCAAGCCAACCAAGCTAGCAAGCCTTTCTTCAATGCGATCGATTTTTCTTTCGCTGCATACCACATAAGTCGTCAGCGGAAGAATGGAGGGACGGTTCAGGTGTGTTGGTCCGCTGCTCTTACTATTGGGGGGATATAAGGACTCGTTGCCGTTTCAGGCGTTTGGTCTGGGCAGCCGCGTAGGTACAGGTCACCCGAGACCGAACGCAGGTGGAGCACGGTTGGCCCCTATCACAACCAACCTACCCTCTCAAGTGCTTTTTGTCAGCCCAGGATTCAGCGAGCAGAAGGCTATTGTAGACATATGTATATATGCAGCCCTGGGTGGATAGATGGCATGGTGAAGAAGTACCTTGCGTGAGCGGCATGGTTCACACTGCGGTGAGACATGTTTGTTAGCTTAGAGACCACGACTATAGGTGGAATGAAATGTATGCAATCCGTAGGCGAACGGTTAAGTGGGTGCTGGTGGAAAGGACCTGGTACCCAAGTACCCAAGCATGTAATTAAATACCTACCGCACGCCGGCTCTTGGTCTCTGGGCCGCCGGCTGGGTCTTCGGCGGTCACATCGCCATGCACAACGCCGCCTTGCATGTCGGCATCACCATCAAAGCTTTCGTTGTCCACACCCATTGGAGCGGCCTCGGGTGTCTGATCGCCGGCAGCGAGATGTGTCTGGCTCCGCCAATCTCTCTGGGGCAGATTGATAGTGCTCGTCGGTTCCGGAACATAAGAACAGCGAGCGTCCTTCAGGAATGTGCATGTGGCGTATGGCAGAGAAGAACCAAGAAGAAGAAGGCTCCGAGCGTTGACTCCGGCGGACCTGAGCTCGCAGCCCGAGGGGTGCGAGCTCCGAATCCGACTGTTTAGTCAGCCACACCAGCAGCCCGTCCGCAATGGCACACGGCTCGGAGGCCGAGGGCTCCTGCATACGCGGAAACCTGGGTTACAGCCACGACTTGGGAGCGAAGACCACCAAAGGAAGTAATGGAACGAAAAGCTTGGCTGTCGTGGCACGTCTTGGTGGATATAATGCGGATAGAAGTTGGTCCACAATGCAATTCATCCGTTTTTTTCTTAAGGGTTCAGCCCCAGCTACAGTGTACCCCTTTTCCTCGTCGTCAGTCATGTGAATTTCCGAGTCAAGACTCAACACGTGCTGCACACCTCGATAAGTGCTGGTGTTTATTACCAACAATTGTGGCCTGACTCTCTTTTGTGGCACTTTCGTCCACAGGCTGCCACCCCTCAGTCCTCAACAATGGCGAACGAGCCTTCGCCAGCCTCAGAAGAGAAACATGCCCAGACCACAGCATCAAAGCCGCCGGTGGACCCTGCGGATCAGTCTGCGACACCAACTGACGGCCAGGAGCTCACAGTGACGTCCGGTGCAGCGTACTTGCGCATTTTCACATATGCAGAGCCAATACATGTCGTCTTGGGGGTAGTGGCTTTCGTTGCCGCCCTGGGTTCAGGCACAGGCTTGGCCCTGGTCAACCTCGTGCTCGGCCAGTTTGTGGGCATTTTGACCGACTACGTCGCAGGGGACATCTCAAGGGACAACTTCATGAGCAATGTCACGACCTACTGCTTATATTTTGTCTACATCGGAATCGCGCGCCTGTTCCTGACCTATGCATATACGACTCTCTCGAATTACTGCGCCTATCACATTGTACGCAACATACGACGACGCTACCTGAAATCAGCCCTCAGCCAGGAGGTTGCCTTCTACGATCAAGGCACTTCTGGGTCGATCTCCATGCAAGCAACGTCGAACGGCAATTTGATCCAGTCTGGCATTGCCGAGAAACTGGCTCTGGCCTTCCAGTCGATGGCAACCTTTGTGGCTGCTTTCATCATAGCCTTCATCAGTCAGTGGAAGCTGACACTGATACTCCTCTGTATTGCGCCTACTCTGATCATTCTGATGGGAGTTGTTGCTTCGATTGAAGCCAAGATTGAAGGCCAGATGTTGGAGACCTATGGCAAAGCAGGCGCATATGCCGAGAGCGTTCTGTCCACGACGAGGACAGTACACGCTTTTGGACTTCGGCAGAGGCTCGTGGCCCGTTATGCGACTTATGTAGCTCATGCGAGGAGCCTTGGCAATAAAAAGAGCCCTCTCTATGGTGCTCTCTTCAGCATTGAGTATTTTGTGATATATGGTATTTACTTCTTCTCATACTTCACCAGAATGTCTCAAGGGCTCGATTTCAAATGACTAACGCACACCAGCTGGGATGGGCCTCGCCTATTGGCAAGGTGTCAAAATGTTCTCAAACGGGGAAGTGGATTCTCTGGGAACCGTGTTCACGTGAGTCCGGTCCATCGAGCAACCTGGCAAGAATATTCGGCTGACGAGTTACCAGGGTGCTTCTCTCTGTCGTTATCGCCACCCTGAACATCACAATCATCGCTCCCTACACAGTATCGTTCCAGCGAGCTGGGTCCGCTGCTGCACAACTGTTCACCCTTATCGACCGAGCCTCTCAGATAAATCCTTTCGACGAAGGCGGTGAACGGCCCAGTCAGACTGACGGAGTCATCGACATCAAGAACATCGGCTTTGAGTACCCTACAAGGCCGGGGGTGACTGTCCTCGAGGACTTTTCCTTGCACGTCCCGGCTGGTAAAGTGACTGCACTTGTGGTAAGTGTTTCTGATCAGACGCGCGGAACAAAGAAACTAATATACGTCGCAGGGAGCCAGCGGTTCGGGGAAGTCGACCATCATAGGCCTACTCGAACGATGGTACAAGCCTCGCTCGGGGGCCATCGAGCTAGATGGTCGAGCAATCGACACGCTCAATCTCAACTGGCTCCGGACCAACGTGCGCCTTGTTCAGCAAGAGCCAGTCCTTTTCAACGGCACCGTCTTCGAGAACATCGCGAATGGCTTAGTTGGGACCCCCTGGGAACACGCGACTGTCGAGGAGCAACAGCAAAGGGTCGAGCAAGCAGCCGACTTCGCCTTTGCTCACGACTTCGTCTCGAAGCTGCCCGAAGGCTACAACACACGTATTGGCGAGCGCGGCGGCCTCCTGAGCGGCGGTCAGAAACAAAGAATAGCAATCGCGAGAAGTATCATTTCTGAGCCCAAGGTTCTGCTACTAGACGAAGCTACGAGCGCTTTGGACCCGCACGCTGAGGGCATAGTCCAGAAGGCGCTGGACAACGTGTCCAAGGACCGGACCACCATCGTCATCGCCCACAAGCTCGCGACCATCAGAGAAGCGGACAACATCGTGGTCATGGCCAAGGGACGAATTCTCGAGCAAGGCACTCACAGCTCGCTCCTTGCGGCCAACGGCGCATATGCGCGTCTCGTTCAGGCGCAGACCCTCACTTCTAGCGCAGCTTCCGACGTCGCAGACTCGAGTTCCACCTCTGATGACGAGGAGGAAGCGAAGGGAGAGCAACATACAGAGATGGAGCTCTCTCGATCCCTCACGCGTTACGCCACGGCGGACCGGTTGCACCTGCAAAAGCTCGGTGACCGTGACAACTACGAGAACTTCAAGCAGTACGGTCTGGTGGGGACAGTATTGCAAATGATGCGAGCGACCCCGGAGCTCAATAAGATTTACGCGCCTGTGGTCCTGCTCTGTATTGCAGCAAGTGAGCAAATTTCATCCCCAACCAAGCATACTGGCATCAATGACTAACAGCTCCGTAGGTGGCGTTTTCCCAGGGCAGGCAGTGCTGCTGGGCGGAGTGATGGATATCTTCCAACTGCCCCTGGACGAAATGCGCAGGCGCGGCAATTTCCTGGCTCTCATGTTCTTCGTGCTCGGCATTGGTTGCCTGGTCGTGTACTTCTCTTTGGGTTGGCTCACCAACATCATCGCCCAGACACTGAACCAAAAGTTCAGGAAGAACATGCTCGACTCCATGCTCCGCCAAGACGTCCAGTTTTTCGACAGAGCCGAGAACACCGTGGGCGCCCTGACCGGTCGCCTCGATTCTTACACCCAGGCCATCCTCGAGCTCATGGGATTTAACATTTCCCTCGTCCTGATCACCATGATCAGCGTCACCGCTTCCAGTATCCTTGCCGTCGTCGTGTCGTGGAGGCTCGGCCTCGTCGGCGTCTTCGCTGGAATCCCGCCGTTACTCGTTGCCGGCTACGCTCGAATCCGCCTCGAGACCAGGATGGACGATGGAAACTCGAAGCGGTTCTCCCGCAGTGCTTCGGTTGCCTCGGAGGCTGTCACAGCTATCCGGACGGTGTCAAGCTTGGCGATCGAGCACTCGGTGCTGGAGCGGTACACGGACGAGCTTGACCATGCTATTCGCCAGTCGATGCTTCCCTTGTTCCACATGATGTTCTGGTTCTCGTTCACACAGGCCATCGAGTATTTCATCCTGGCACTGGGGTTCTGGTATGGCTGCAAATTGGTCTCCGAGGGCAGTGTGACGTTTTATCAGTTCTTCGTGTCATTCATGGGTGTCTTCTTTGCCGGACAAAACGCATCGCAGATGTTCGCGTATACGACGAGTAAGTGCTTCAAAATCTTGAGAAAGAAACGACAAAACTAACAAGTCACAGGCATTACTAAGGGGACAAGCGCGGCAAATTACTACTTCTGGCTTACCCGTCTACAACCGGGGATCATCGAAACACCGGAAAACGCCCAACATGGACCGGCGCGTGGCATCGAGGAAATTGAGTTTGACAAGGCCAAGTTTACCTACCCTCTCCGGCCAGGACATCAGGTCCTGCGAGGGATTGATATCAAGATCAAGCGAGGACAATTCGTTGCCTTTGTTGGTGCTTCTGGCTGCGGAAAAAGTACCATGATAGCATGTAAGTAAACCAAATCCCCCGCGGTTACTCAGCGCGTCGACAATTTTCTGACAAAACGTCCCCACAGTGCTTGAGAGATACTACGACGCCACAGCGGGCAGCATCAACATAGACTCGGAGCCCTTGACATCTCTCAATCCCCGCCTATACCGCCAAAATATCGCCCTGGTCCAGCAAGAGCCAACGCTGTACCAAGGAACCGTCCGAGAAAATGTCCAGCTGGGCTACGAGCAACACGGCGAGGACGAGACGCTGCCGAGCGAAGAGATGGTGGAGTCCGCCCTGCGGGCGGCGAACGCGTGGGACTTTGTGATTTCCCTACCAGAAGGCCTCAACACCCCATGCGGCGCAAGCGGGTCGCAGCTCTCGGGCGGCCAGCGCCAGCGCCTCGCGATAGCGAGGGCACTGATCCGGGACCCGAACGTGATCCTACTCGACGAGGCCACATCGGCGCTCGACACCGAGTCCGAGAAGATGGTGCAGAGGGCGCTGGCCGAGGCCTCGGCGGCGCGGGACCGTATCACTATTGCGGTGGCCCATCGTCTCAGCACGATTCGAGACGCGGACGTGATCTGTGTCTTTTACGAGGGCAAGATCGTTGAGAAAGGTACACATGATGAGCTTTTGGCTCTGGGTAAAATGTACACAAAGATGTGTGAGGCGCAGAGCTTGGACAGGTAGACTTTCTCAGCACGCAGGCTGTCGTGCTGGCAGGGAGTTCCCGGTATAGATGTGTAATGTAAATAGATGGGATGAGTTTTGGGATATAAACGGGTCTATAGACTGGGGGTTTCGCGAGATTCGAGATCCCCTCTTCACCAAGATGATATTTAGATAATTAAATTCGCAACATTAATATCTAATTTGACTTGATACGCTTGTTGGCTATACATGTAATGTTTGTAGTGTGCCTAACCCCCCCCCCCCCCCCGGGCGGGAAATGTCCTAGCAAACGCACACAGCTGAAGATTCCGGGTATTCCTGCTTCATTCCACGATTGTCAAGATTTTCTCTCCTGGCCGCTGGATACCAGTTCAAAGTTTGGTGTGTGATGAGACTCAGTTTACAAGCAAAAGCCTCCATCTTCAATCTGCGTATCTGGTATCAAGCAATATGGAACCTGCAAAGCTTTCATCTGCACCGCACTCAGAGCTAAGTTTGTCAGTCATGGCGCTCGTGAAATGGGAGATAATTATGCTTGCCTTTGCTAACACATCTGCGCCTCTGCCGAAGGTAAAGCCGGGATCGAAATAAGAAATCTGAAGCACTTCATCGCCCGGATCTCGCAACAAGCCTCGATAAAAGCGTGTCAGGGTCATGTTGCGGTGATCTTGTCTCAACACGCTTGCGGTATCGGCAGACGAAATGCCACGACGTGTGGGCGTTTGAGCACGGAACACGAAGGCACTTTCGTCAAAGTGTGCCTCGGGTGAAATGTGCATCTTTTGGCGGTATTTCGCACTGATCTCTCTGGCGATTCGGAGGTGGATATCTGAAGGTCGTGCCGCTGGGTGCGCCTCTTTCCATTGTGGCGAGGGAAAGACGTTACTTGTATATGTGGCGATGTGTCCAAGGGATGTGACGATTCCCGAAAGTGTGCTGAGCCATAGGCCTTTGGGATATATAGAAAAGAGATGTAGGAAGAAAGCCGCAAAAAGGCTGTGTATGACGCCAGACTTCCTGAGGCTGGGGTGGATGACAGTCAAGCCGGTATGTACAACTGGCTCTTTCAGACCAGAGACCGGGAGGATCACAGCCGAAAGGAAAGCGATAAGCTCATCACCTTGCTTGGCCAACACAATTATCTTATCATGGAAGGATGTGCTGGACGGATATTCGAAAACTTGGTAATTCGGGAGGGGGTCGAAACACAATTTGCCCAGCTGACAGAGCTGTGATCGCAGCGTAGTGATTTGCTCCACCGACTGTGTCATCCCTGGGCGGTCCAGAACCTCGAGGTCGTAGTCGACTTTATTTTTGATAACCATCTTGTCGATGCTGCAGAATTTGATGGTCGGCAAGAATGCTCCAATATAGTCAACGTCGAACCGTTTCCGGATAACAGAGAACCAGTGCAGGAAGCAGAGAATGTCGCCTGCATGTGAGATACGGCTGACGCCTTTTGTATCATTTGGGTGGTCAGACCGCAATCGGGTGCTTACACATCTTGCGTCAAGAATCGCAGGGCTTATCACTCGTGCTTGAGAAGTTGCCTGCCAATTCGTTGTTTTTCACTCTCGAATGCTTGTTGATCGTGACACAAATAAGCATCAGACAAGCTCTACCCCAGAAGGACACAGCACAAAAGTATCTCGTAGTACAGTTCCAATGTCCCCCTTGGTGTGGGCTCTGGTTATTTGTATTACACACAAGTTCACTTGCTGCTGGTGGTCAATTGTGACGTTTAAAATGATCAATTATTCATTCGTTATACCTGACTGCCATGAATCGACAGCACATGATATGAGTTACCAATTATGGTAGTGCGGGGCGATAGACGTATCTATGTACAGACTTTGCTCGCCGCAAATTATGGACATGAATCCTGCATCCAACCAGTTGGGCTGGCATGATGATATGCTAATATTACCCACTGCTAGATGCCACCCAGTTCTAGATCAATATGGAAATCTAGCAAACGCCGCTGGGGACAACAAAGCTCTCGGTCCGCTTCGAAGAGTTGTACACGGCGCCCTGGCCGAGACCTCGCTTGGCGAATCCGGTCCACAGCTCACAGGCGTTCGCACCACCGGTCAGGGCCAGGTCAGCGTCGATGATGGCGTCGCGGGCAGAGACAAATGTTGGGTTGCAAGGCTGGCTGTGAGATGAGATTAGCTATTGGTCAAGGAGGTGTGTACTCGAGTCCCGGGCGGTCAACTTACAGAGACATGCCGTCGATGACGAGCTTCATGGCGAGATATCGGCCATCGGTGGGCACACCGTTGCTGTCGAAAGTCGGCTTGGCAGCCGGGTTGCTGCCGTGCTTGTCGATCAGGTTCCAGAGGACCTCGTAGAGGATCGTGGTCCAGATGGTGCCGACGCCGTGGACCTCGGTCTTCCCGTTGACGCTCGCGTAGGTGTAGGGGTTCGTCTGCAGGCTGGTGCTGAAGAGGTACGCCCTGATACCGGCCGGGTTGTTGTAAACCCACGCGCCCATGGAGTAGTCGGTGGCTCTCGTGTCACCCTCCTTGAGGCGGATAGCGGTGGCCATGAAGTCGCCCCAACCCTCGCCCATACCACCCGACTCAATACCAGTCAGACACCTTGTGTTGGTGCCGCCACCAGTCAGGCGGTTTGACACACCGTGCGTGTACTCGTGGATGACGACGCCGGCCTCGAAGGTGCAGTCGCGGATCGGGGTGCTCAGGTCCCACAAGTACATGCGCATGCGTCCCGGCTTGCCGTCGGCCGGCGTGCTGAAGTCAGCGTTGTCCGTACCGGCACCATCCTGGGCGTTGACAATGGCAAAGTCGGCGCCCTTGCCACCCTTGCCCGAGTTGCTGGCCTGGAAGTTGTACGTCGCCTCGGTGAACCCGAGCTCGTACAGGAGGTCATGGTATGTGTTCACTGTGTAGAACAGCTGGGTGATCGATGCATTGTCTTTAAAATGTTAGCGGCTTAGTTGTCCCGAGGAGGTGGCTTGGCACTCTAAGGATAGTGGTGGCATACGTACAATAGCTCGTAGGGTCGCTCATTGATGGTGAATAATCATACTCAAAGTCGAAAGTGGCAGACTCTGGGCGGTAGTCGTCCGTGTAGCAGGTGTCGCATGTAGCACCGGTGGGGTTAGCTTGGGCGGCAGCGTTGTTTCCCCAGGTTGTGTCGTAAGTCTTGGAACCATCGTTGTGCCAGGTGAAGGGCGAGTCTTTGAGGTCCCAGGGGTCCTTGACAACCACGCGGCTTCCCTCGTCAGGGTCGTTGACACCCCAAGGACTATGACAAAGTTAGGATTGAAGAGTCAAACCGGCTTGAGAGTGCTTACTAGACCAGGTAGGTGGCGCTGATGTCAGCCTGCTTGGGCACCAGTTTCTCATGGTTGTGAGCCCGGGCAACGTAATTGACCACACCGTAGACTTTTTCAGTCGTCTCGGCGTCGACATACGACAGCAGCCAGTCGCTCGAGACATCAGTCTCGACTCTCCAAGTCAGGGCCAGGGTCCCGTCGTCCTTGACAAAGTACAGAAGACGGGCCTCGGGGTCGGACTCGGCTCCCGAAGTGCCAGCAATGGTGTACGTCTCAACTCCGTCCTTGGCGGCAGTCGTCGCGCCCTCAGTCTTGACGTCGAGCTGCAGGATAGAGTTGGCGGCGTTGAGAGCAGCTATTGGGTCCTTGAAGGCACGCTTCGTCAAGGGGCTGCTCTCTGGCAGAGCTCCAGCGTAGAAGCTGCTACCGTGGGAAAAGATTGAGCCATCCTTCGCGATCTAGAAGGATGTCAGCGGTAGGCTCGCACACGTTTTCCCTTTTCTCTTTCCTATGTTTGGTACTCACGTTCACGTTAAAGTCCGTGTTGTCAACGTCGAGGCCGAATATCGTCTGACGGAAGTAGACGTGACCAATGCCGTTTGTGCCAATGTAGCTGTCATAGACTCGGAACTCGGCATCAGGAGCCTTGGACTTCACGAGCGCGGTGGCGGTAGCGACGTAGTCATCACGCTTGATCAGCTTTGTGTCCGGGCTGGAGTTGGTCTCAGTCGCGTTGATGTAGGTAGCAGCGGTGCCCGGGCGAAATTGGTCGAGGTCAACCAATCTCTTGGACAGCGATGGCTTCCAAGGCTTCTTGTTCGCGCTTGAGACAGCGGGATGTGCGAGGGCAGAGCTGCCCAGAAGGCCGAGGAGAACGAGTGACTGCATTGCGACTAGGAACTACGCTGTGGATGCTACCGAGCCAACATCTTCCTCAACTACATCCACCACGGGAGCTTCAATTCTTATAAGAATTCGTCGTGGTCAGCCAACTGACACCCGCGCAGAGCATGGGGCTCCAATGGCCTGCACGAAATACCATATCCAACTTCCCATTTGGAGGTGAGCCCGTTGCTGCTCGCACCAGTTCCGGGGACTATCATCTTGGCAGCCGGTACGCAGTAGGGGCAAACCTGAAGGTGAGTGGTTCACAGTAGCTGAATGAGGCAGTCACTTGGACCGCCAAGATGGGTTAATACATGTTGAATGCGAGCCTTTGATATGACTCGATGCACCGCAAAAGCTTGGCGAACACTACTGCAGCGCCCTGGATGGAGCCGACCCCAATCAGGTTGCAGGAGGATTGTCCCAAGACCTGCGACCCCTTCAGGGTGCAGATAGCGCCTTGTGCCGTATCTTGCTGCGAACAGCTCATGCAACTCAACAATTTGAGTATAGCATCAAGTGTCGATTTGAGTCTTTGGTGAAGCTTGTACAAATTGTTTACTTCTTGCGTGAACAACCAGACACTATGTAGTGTCTGCAACTACCGACTTGTTGTGTTCGTATTGCCTCGGCCTGGCACCCACCGACCGCGCAGCGAGACCCAAGACCTGCCCCATTCGGTAAGGCAGAACGGCCAATAGTGGAGATTGCAGCAACGTAGCAATCCGGCACCGAGATATCGTGATGGGGGGGCCGTGTTCTGCTGTGGCCCACTTATCTATGACTGTACAGGCAGACCAACTTGCGAAGGTGGTGGTGGTCACGGTGATGACCACTAGATAATGAAAATGTCAGCAATTGGCATCTCATATCCGGGCATGCAGGTGCACGCGCCCAAAGGGACATCACGTTGACTGCTCTGACGCCGATCCAGTCTCCTTCTAGAAGGTCTTCAAAGCCTATTCACACCTTCTTGCAACCCCCCTAGATCTGGATCTCGGGATGTGTACTATACAAGCAAGCTATGATTATACTGTTGAGCAATTGGGGATTCGCTTACGTACTTATGAGTCCTATCTGGGGCACACAACTCGAATATTACCCACGTCCGCATATTTGCCCTTGTACAGGAGTCCCAAAGTTTTGCCCTGTCTGCTCATTGAAGGATTGTGTTATGTCATAGTATCCATCCAACTGAATTCGAAACCCGCCATCTTAGCAACGATTTATCACACTTTGCACATTGAAGCAATGGCTGTCTTTCAAGTTCATAGTGTGCTCAACACAAGCAAAGTGCAGGCTACTTGAATACTTACTTAGACTATCCAGATTTGACCTCGTTTATCCCAACTTGCTGACGGGACTGACGCTGTGTTGTGCTGTGCTGTGTTCTGCTTTTTGGTGACATGGGCATTGTCCAAAACATAGTTTACTTTTGTCCGGACTGCACAAGGATTCGAAGTAGAATGTAGCGTGTATGTACTTGCGACCTGCTAAGCCAGTCAAGATCAACCCACTTTCATTTCTATTTCAAACCAAGAAATCTCGCTCAAGCTATGCCGGTCGCTTATCATGAAGAAACTGCGATTAAAAGCCGATGAACTGCTGTTTAGCCGAAGAGGAGTGGTCAGACTGGCATGGAATTCTTTGCAAAGTTGAGTGTATAGGTGGTCAGGTACCAATTGAAGCTACAAACTCAGCTCTCGAGTTTATGACAGAAACGGTGATAAAAGTCCCAGTGCAGAACGACCTTAGACTTTGAGGAAGGCTTGCGAGTGCAGTAACCAAATGGCGGGAGTGGAGAGGTGCCGTCTGCTGGGCAAGTGAATAGAGCACGTGAAGGCAAGCGGAATAGCAAGAGCGAGGGCTGTACTTATTCTCCATTGCCTACTGTTCGCAGCATTCTGAAACAAGGACTCCAATCGCTCTGAAGTTCGCGTCGTGTACAGTGTCTATGGAGCACCATCAGGACCCACGAATCGAAACAAAACGATGGACGCCTGATTAACACTCATACATGGTGACAGGAAACCAAGTATACTACCAGCTTCCAAGGTTGCCAACAGTCTTGTGGCAATGTTGGCAGGTTTCGCCAGCACAACCGGTTCTCACTTGCCAATTTTAGACAGTCTTTTGCGTCTAAGTTGAAGGGTCATATTAGTATCTGCCTTCGATCCCGACGGCCCGTTTGCGATTTGTTATATGCCAGCTGCAACAGCCAAGGGTTATCCGAAACTTGTCACTTACTCATGGGCCAAGGTTCATCCAGCAAGCAAAGCCAGGTCGAATACACTTTCGCGGCATCCAAGGACTTGGGATGGGTGGGGTGGCCTGCAATAGGCTCGACCTACGAGGCTTGGCAGATCATGACGCTGAAACCCGCGCTGTCAAGCCGAAGCTTCGCCCAAAAGCGGAAACGGAAACGGACTTCGGATTGTATGGACGGCTGGTACAAGCATACTATATGTATGTAGGTACGCCGATCGGCAGATATGTTTACCGAGATCCACATCCACTTCGCACAGCCACGTGCTGCCGTTGCCTTCCGTTCACAGCTTGCGGGGATAAATGTGATAGATGTTCAGCAAAGAGCAGGGTTCTCAAATCTCAGACAGTATACTTGTGAGGCGGCTTGTGACGCTCAAGACGTGGAGTCGTCCCACTTCCCTTTTTTCCCACCTCTCTGTCTCGCCCCACACGACGCTTGAAATGCAAAATCCCGCTCCATTGAAAACTCGACGCGCACCCTGTTCATGGTGTTTCCCGAGGGAAAGTCAAGAAGACCAGGAGATTGGGACAACACAATGACACCTCTTATGCCTATTTCACCGGCCCATATACTGACAACACCAACCTCGAGCGACTTTCTTCCCAAAGCGGAGCCAAATGTAAGCACAAGAAACGCAACCACGAGCCCGAGCGGTCTCGCCCAAGAGCCTCAGGTTTCGGATCTGCAAACAAAGGCCAACGATAATACCCCAGAAGACACCAATGTTATGGGATCTCAAATGAGCCCGATGACGACCGCAATAACCCTGCAGATATTTGGTACGAAACCCTCTGCAGCCCTTGGTTTCTTTTTTGGCGTGTCACGTCGTTGTTTAACGTGGATGACTAGTGATCGTATTGGTTGTAATTGGAGGTGCATCTTTGTTGTGGTTTCGAAGAAAACGACGAAGAGCACGCCGTGTAGAAACTCAGGGGAGCGAAGGACTGGCTAGAGGGGAAGAGAACTTATTTAAGAAACTTGGCCGCCGAGCGGGGCTTTTCGGAGGAAAGAAAAATAACCAAGGATCTGGAGAGAAGGATTCAACTTCAGGACGACCAGTTCATAAACTCGATAACGACGAGCAGCCGCCGGTCCAGCAGATCCCAGAGCCTGTTTTAGTTCGTGAGAGCCTCGACGTTCCTAATTGGCTACCGGAACTGCCTTCCCACCAGGCAATCAGCCTTCACAACTCAGTGGCAACTGCTCCGCCACCGTCATCCAGGGGATCGGTTGCTCAAACGAATCCGACGCTACAGCGGCTGCGCCAAAACCTGATAGGGGCTGAGGAACAGCTATTCCCTCCGCCACGAGCGTTATTCACAAGACAATCAACATTGTCTTCGAATTATGCTGAATCTGTGATGAGTTCAGCACCATCATCACGACCTTCCACTATTGTCTATGCTTCACCACTTCGACCTCGCCCCGTCACACGGAATGCCCCGCGATGACACGCTATGTAATACTTTCCTGCAAAACCAAATTTCAACACTATTCATTGCACCAAGATCAGCAGCCGGAGGTGAAATTGGTAGTCTCAGGACATGTTATTCCAGACGCCGGAACCGTCATTACAAGCGACATTGCCAGCTAAACTCTATGACATCATGTCTTCACCGGACAAAGCGGGAAAACCGCCCATAACGCTCAATGAAGTATCCTATCTCCACCGAAGAACCGCCACTCCCATATGTTGCAATCAAATGCCAACGGTCTTGAATGGTGTTGGAGTTGCTTTACAGAAGTCATGGATTTGTGACCCAAGAACGGCTATGTCTCTTGCGACGTACAGGACCAGGTGGAATCGCGTTTCTGCTGGGGATCATCTGTTCCTGCGAACTTGCAGATGCAAACCAAGTCTCTTTATTGAGTGAAACTAGGTCACCACAGGCCTTAAATGCTTAAATGGGAGCTAGAGGCTTTATATACCCGGTTGTGGCAGACATTCCAGAAGGAAGAGGGCGCATCGGTGCAAGACACACAACTTCGAGAATAGAAGGGCTAGAATAAGGGCCCGATGGCAGCCAGAAGGTTATCAAAAGACCGATTTTAAAACAACCCTTGTTAGCCTCTCCACCTAGTTTTCCGAACTTCTCCACAGTAGCTCTGATCCAGGTGTCGAACTGTGCGCGTTTGCGCACGTCGACATTGGTGGGCGTGTCTCCTGAAAAAATTCTCCCCAGTGCCTAAATTCTTTCTCCGAGATACCATCCCTGCTTTTGAGATTGAACAATGTAACATCAGCTTATCTATCTTCTCCGACTTGTTTCTTCCTGCAGTGAATCATTCAACTCATCAAGAACATCCGGCGACTTCAACAGCCATGACTCTGAATTGCTTGGGACCTAAATCCCAAGAGCTGGCCACGCCAACCGAGGTCAACGTCCCGGTGCATGTCAACAACGAAGACGTTGTAATAACCGACCGAGGCGGAATCATCGAAAACAAGCATCGCATCCACGCCGCCGTCGTCGACCCAGAAGGAAAGCTTCATTATGCGGTCGGTGATCCAGACAGGGTGACGCTCGCGCGCTCGGCAGCCAAGCCCGTTCAAGCCTTGGCCATCCTCGAGACTGGTGCTGCCGATCGATTCCATTTCGACGATGCAGACATTGCGCTTATGTGCGCATCGCACAAGCAGCGAGCCCCCACATATTTCCAGAGCGCAGGAAATGCTGAAGAAAGCCGGCTCCAAGGAGGAGGACCTGGCGTGTGGCGGACATCCAGCCCTCTCTGCGGCAATAAATCTCGCCTGGGCCAAGAAATGCTACGTACCAACGGGCATATGCAACAATTGCTCAGGAAAACACGCTGGGATGATGGCAGGAGCGATTTGATCGGATGGCACAGTCTCAGGTTACCATGAGGCACGCCACCCCATACAGCTCCGTGTAAAGCAGGCTGTCGAAGAGATGAGCAATTTGTGCAATGACAAAGTCCTATGGGCTGTAGATGGATGCAACCTCCCAGATCCCGCCATGCCCCTGTGTAATCTCGCCTTGATGTATGCGAGGCTTGCTGAAGCACGCAATGGACAGGTTGAGGAGTCGATTCTCCAAGGGGCTACTCTTTCGGAAACGGGACCAGCCAGGAGGAAACGCCATCTGGCTCGCATCCATCAGTCTATGTCTACATATCCGGACATGGTAGGAGGGAGCGGGCGCTTCTGTACAGCTTTGATGAGAGCATACGAAGGGGAACTTGTTGGGAAGTTGGGGGCTGATGGCTGCTATGGCATTGCTGTTCGTGCTCCGCCGGACAGTTCATCGCAATATGGCCTCAAACGACACGCAATCGGAATTGCAGTAAATGTTGAAGACGGCAACATTGACGTGCTATATTCAGCAGTCACGGAGATCCTCGAACAGATGAATATTGGCACAAAAGACATGCGACAACAGTTGGCAGGGTTTCATCATCCCAATATCGTCAATACGGCGGGGGTGGTCACAGGCAGCTTCAAGCAACAATTTGAAGTCCGGAGCCTCTAATGGCGAGATGACTTAGTTACATTACAGGAATTCACGAATTCAGAACTGAACGCAAAGTTCTTTTCTACATTATGTTAGATTCCAGGGTGGTGCTAACCAGGTTGCCTACAGGGGCAGATTCTCCTTTCACCTCGTGCGAAGTACAAGGGAAATTGCGGTTCAGCCGGTGATCACTTGCTCCTGCCAAGTTGAAGGTCCAGGCTGGCTTGGATTCTGAAGTTGAATTCATCATCCCGCCTGTCCACAGTTCCTCCTCTCTGTATGTCGTCTCCGAGAACGACCCACGAGCTCAGATCCAGTTGTGAACGCACATCCTCCCAGTCAACTGGGCTAGGAGGGAGTTCACTAGACGCATTCCAGGCGTTCGAACGAGTTGGAAACGGACGCGGCTCGACTTCGGCCTGATCTGTCACTGGCACTTCATAAGTGACGGGCTGCTCAGTGCACCCAAGGAGTCTCTTTTTGAGGGTCTTGAACTCAGCAGTCTTGCGAAGTACCTTGGTCTCGTCAGGAGACTGCGTAATCTCAACAATACCGTATCTGTTTGGAGCCCAGTAGAACTCGTACACGCAGCCGCCGGAAAATACGTGTGTCATCTCTTGGGAGTAGATGGCCGTAGTCTCGTGAAACACGCGGGGCGTAACGGTATTACTGCCGTACTCAGAGAAGAAAATTGGGATGTCTGTGTCGGAGAACTGGAAGACCTGCGCAGCAAAAATGGCTGTCAATGACCGCCCTAGAAATAGTGAATGACAATACCGAGTCATATCTCGGGAAGAAGCTGGAAGTCAGAGTACTTACCAGTTGATTGTAGCCAGATATTTGCATGGATGAGTTCCTGCCAGCCCAGGAATAGTTGCAGAACTGGCAACAAGTTAGCAGTGAGAAGCACTTAAGGAGCACTCATGATGGCGACTCACACAGTAGAAATCGATGGACTCTTCCCTAGATCCAGCAGTGAGGTAGTCGAAGGTCGACCTAGTGAACATCCTGACATCTGCAGCGCTGTAGCCAACCGGCAGCACTCGCTGTTCTGAAGTCTCCCGGGCCAATTCCATGTATCTTTTGATATCCCTTGTGACTGCCCGGATGACAGGTGCTGCGGCAGTTGAGGCGTGACTGTTGATGACTTCGCTTGCAACCAGCACGCCCAGGGCATTTGGGTAGGCTGCCATGCAATCGACAGTGGAGAAGCAGTGTTCCAGCAGGTCTTGATTGTACGATTCGAGCGGTGTCATCCTGTTGATGCAAAACTCCGGAGTGGACAGGCACTGGGCTCACAGACATCAGCTTCTCATGGGTGCCCCATGTTGACAGATGCGAGCGTTTCTTCAGGTCGGTCTTACAACCAAAACATAGATGCCAGCATCCGCCAGCAGCTTCATAACTGCATCATGACTTTTCGTATGATCAATCTGGACTTTGTAAAGTCAATATTTTGTCATCGTTTTCTGGAAATGTAGCCGTGCTTCCAACCCAGCCGACACTTACAAACGAAGAGGGTGTTCAGCCCCAGTTCCTTGAAAGCTTCCAAGTCCCTTCGCAAGTCCTCGATTCCATCATCAGCGAGCGGGTCACTTCTGCAGCTTCCGCTTCTTCTGTGATCCTGGTATACGACCCCTTTCACCATGAACTGCGACCCACGGGTGAGGTCAACGGGCTGATCAAATCGTGCAAAACGGCTCCCTGCGGAGAGAGAACACCCACCCGTTTGCCATCCACCCAGAAATATCTGCCCTCGACGCTGAGCGGTTGAATAGGTCCAGCCATCTTGGACTCGTGTACGGCAAGCTTTAGTATCCGTCGATTGGGTGAATGAGAAGCCGTGGGTTGAAGGTGCTGCCTGATTACCGAGGGCCAAGCATCGAGCACCGAGCGCACTACCTACGGCTAGGCAGCGACGACGGCTGACACCACCCGGGCAGTGACGTCAACCCTTTCGACTCTCCCGTCTCGGACATCGTCTTTCGAGGAATGAACTGACATGCTAATAGCGAAAGGCTGCGACAAGCTGCAGGGCCCTTGATCCATCCGTACACTGGCAGTATGCCCGAGAGTCCGCTTTTTAGACAACGAGGCAGGTCTCATGGTGAGAAGGTCTGTTCTTCCAGAACACAGGGATTTTGGCTTTTTCACATGAGCAGGCTTTCGCATATTGGCGCTACCTCTCCTTCTCCTCGATTTTGTCAAGAAATCATCCCTCAACTGTGCTGCTTCACGAACCGGAGCACCTTCTCCGATACAACATCGTGACCTTCCCTGGGAACGTAGTGACCAACCCCGTCCCCCAATGCAACCGGGTCATACCATATTCCAGGCTCGATTCAGTCTTTCCAGACCTCCGCCACATCCATCTTTGCATCTAGATTCTTCTGGGAGAACATGACCAAAGTTGGAACATCAATCTTTGCGCCCGCATTCTGGTCATCCTCCTGCTTCTTGTACTCCGGCGCGGCCCCGGCCGCATAGTCTTCACATGTATATCGCAGCGTCTCCTCTTCCTCAAACAGCTCCGCGTGGATCTCAACAGCACCGTCCGACTGAATCTTGGCCAGCCCCTCCTTGCTGCCAATCAATCTTAGATGACCGTTCTGGCACCACTGCGCTCCACCGTACGCCTTGATCATCTGAACAGTCACCTCGACGTTGGCCAGCAGTGGCCAGTGGAAGTGTCCCGTCGTAACGGCGGGGTTCGAGAAGTTCTCCCACTGGACTTTGGTGTTGCACTTGGTCCATCAGGATTGCGCCGATGACCTTGACGAATGGGAAGTCGGCTTTCGACACAGCCAAGCGGTGGCAGATACATGCGCCGCGATCGTAACCGCCGAGGACCAGGCGCCGAGGTTATTCCGCAGAGAGCTTGAAAACAGATCGGAGAGCCTCAAGGAGCGCACCACCGATGTCTCTGGGTGCACTGCTCTTCGCCGGGCTTTTCCATAGGCAGTCAGATCTGTGCAGAAATTCCTGTAGGGTATCACAAATATAGCAACGACCATAGATTGAGAGCTAAAAGCCTGGGGACTAACAACTTTAATGCAGCGTCTCGGCTGCTTTGCATAACTACTGTACTTTTGCCAGTATGACTATCGTACAATCAGAAGTGAAACGGTGTGCAATTGGGATTATAACGGGTGAGAACAGTGTGCGTCGGTCAACACTTGGATGAGAAGGTTAGAAACTGCTCTGGAAACGACCATCTATGTCGCCGGGAAGACTGGGCTGCCCCAATACTCTCCTGCTTGAAGCAACGTTGAGTCCACCCCGTTAGGACCAGCTGCCACATACAGAAATTTCGCCCATCTTGCCTCGGTGTAGTAGGAGAATTTGGTGTTTCTCGGGATATAGATCAAATCTCCCCAATAGAGCTTCGCCTTTTCAAACCCTTCAACCATGAAGTTGAGCCTGCCTTCCAAGACCTCGAAGGAATTGCCGTGTGGAAGGGAAAAGGTAGGCAGATTATCCATGTCTGAAGGCGGACCGTTGATAGTGATCGTCGACTCGGTCAAATTGTATTCTGGTCCAGTGGATTGTGGAGTCACCAGTGGTTTCACAACATGGTAGAAGCTCGCGATGTCCCTGTTGAGGTGCTTTGGCCCACAATCGTTGGCAATCCAGTAATTGGTATCACTGTCATTTCCGATATTGTTGAATCCGTTATGCCAAGGGCGACCCTGGGGAGCGGTACCATTGAGGATATCCCGGCGAGGAGTGAAGCCTGGCTGTGCCCAGACATCTAGCCACTCAAACATGGCGATCTCCTCCGGATCGATTTCATCACCTGTGCCATTGGTTGGTGGAATGACTGCAGGATCGAAAGGCCCATTGGTTGTTGTATGATAGAGAACTGCGATGGCAGAAATGAGACGCTCAAAGCCTCCCGGCGCAACCACAGCATGAAGTTCCGAGTCCGGGTCAACCAATTGGAAAGTGTGATTGGTGAAGGGCGGCCAAGAACCGAAGTCGCCGGTGGTCAGAACCCGGGCCTCCTGCTCACGATTTGAGCGTTGAGCCCAGACATTCACGCGACCCTTGAAGTTGAAGAACGTTTCGTAATGCGTTTTATGGAGGTGTGGCAGGACAACTAGATTGCCAGACGCTGGACCAGTGTTGCGGAAGATGGTGTATTCCCCACCAGAGGAGGGGCCGGTCACAGGAACCCTGAAGACCACAGCACCTGCGGCCATAACCATAGCTGGAGCACATCGGCGAATGATATACGTCTGCGTTACGTTAGGTGGACTTTCGAGGTCTGGCACCGGTCCGTAGGTGCTATTGAGCTGTGCAGCGGTTGTCGCCAGGAATAGGACCGGTGATAGAAGCCAAAGATACCACATGCTTGTCTGAAATTCAGATATATGATTCCACGATGGGTTTCAAAGATGTATTCATGGAAAAGTGACCTTAACGCCCTTAAGCAAATTGGACACCGACTTGAGTACAGTGCCGCGGTCGGTGGATGTGACTGTTGATGAGAGAGGTGCACAATGGACATACAGAGGTGAGAAACACATTGCTTTTTATTCTTCCATTTCCGCGTACACAATACTGCCATCAACAACAACGTATCGATCGGTCCTACATGGACGGAACAATGAAAAAGGCTGCCAGGTGACTTTGGAGCATTCTAACACAATATATGGTAACAAGCAGGTTTCAATGATGATGGACACCATCCTTGCTATACCGATGTCTGGGTCGACCATTTCTGGGGTCTCAAGTCGTAAGTCTTTATTTTTGGTACCACTCCCATGAATGGACAAGCTAATTGGAACGGTGTTATTCACAGACTGACCTGATTGGACCATTCAGATCATTCAAAAGAAAATGGAGAAACTGTGGAAGATAGCGTTGGAGACCCAAGCTGAGGCATTTTGGTCCCAGAACGAACAGCCTCACGTGCTGTGCTGTCAGTCCTTGGGCAACTCTTTGTAATGGCTATCAAGCATTCATTTGAGAGGAAACAAAGTTGTGATAAGGGTGCCTACTTCTTGGAGCCTCATGGACTTGCTGGCGTACATGGGTGAAGGCTGGGTCGGGCTTGGGGTTCTTGTCTAGGACTCAAGCTGGATATCCGCATGCATTTTTTAAAATCATCACTACTTCAATTTCGTCACACAAAGCAGATAATTCTGTCGTTCTATGAATTGCCATCTCGATCACACGACAGATTTGCCGTATGTGTGAAAATTTGCTTCTGACTACCACCAAGAAGTCCTCCGTCATTTCCTTTTGCCTTCCATGCTCACACAATGTTGTGCTTCCTGTGCTAGTTAAAAGCAGCTATGACGACCACATTAACCTAACTGGCCTGCGTTCTTGGTCAAAAGCTTCCGCTGCTTTGCTACTTCCGCCAGCTCGCCCCTTCCATCGTTTTGGCAACCTTTCTCCATCTCGCCAACAGCTACTTGGCCGTTTATCTCTTCCCATCTCACCCACTGCCGCCGGCACAGCTACCTCTCTTCTTCTCACCAGGCGATACCTGGTCAGCAACTCTCCTCATTCCACCGGATACCGCTCGAGAGACGACTGCGACCCTTCTCAACTGCATCTGTCTGGCGGGTCACTTCCTCTCCACTCACCACCTGACACTCGGGCATTTGTCTCTCCCCTTCTCACCAGCGGCTGCCGGGACCGCTGTGTTCCCTTCTCACCAGCTCCCATCGGAACAGCTACCTTTTCGCTTCTCACTAGCTGCCACTCAGCAGACAATCTGTTCCCATCTCACCTGTTTCCTTTTATTTGGTGACGTCTGCCATTCGCACCAGCTGCCGGAAGACAGCCTTTTCTCACCTCACCAGCCGTCACTTGACTGTCGACTTCTTTCCTCTCACCACAACTCGACCGTTGACCTCCAGCTGTTCGCACAAGGCTCAAGCTACCTCCCTTTGTCTGAAACTTTAGTCCAGCTCACCATCGCCTGCTGTTTGATCACCTCGGCCCAACTGATCGCAGCCTGCGGATGACTTCCCCCTGTATCAGCCAGGGCCTCCTTCATCACCTTCACCTACCAGGTCTGTCCATCCAAGTTAACACCCTCCGCCTGTTTGAAGACCTTCATCTGGTCTGCGGACTCCAAGTGTTTGGCCCCTCCAACCTGGTTGACAGCTTCCATCCGAAGAACGACAACAACCCCCACCGGGTCAACAAAAGTCTGCTGTGCTGACAACCTTCAACCAACCAAACAACATCCGGATGACTTTCATCTTTCTCATCACTTGGATCCAGCCCAATTGATCTCGACCTGTCTGCAATTGGCAACAGATCCACCATTTCTGGTACTTGACTCACCACGTCTGCCACCTCGTGAGTTGAATCCGGCTCACGGCTTTTGCCTCTGTTGACACTCCGGCTCAGCCTACCACTTCCTCCTTTTTTCAACAGGCAGCTTACCCGGGTACCAGAGAATCTTGGTCCTCGAGCCACAGCGTGGTTCTCCATCAGAAGTCCGCCAAGGCCAAATTTTCATCTGAACACCAGGACCCCCTATCATCTTCCCATTTCAGGGGTCAGGCCTAAGGGTGGTCCACTACGACTTTGCCACCCACGACACTCATCACCTTCAGAGGCCACAAAGCTGAGGAAGATTTCTTCATTCTCTGATTGTCTCCTCCAGTCAGTCTTGAATCAGCCAGCTCGTCTTGCTGGCTTTACCCTGTCACCAAATATCAGACCACGACACATCACCACCACTCATCCCTCTCCATTTCTTCCATTCGTCGACTCATCTAAGACACAACATTAGCAACTTAGCTTGCACAAGAACTTCCGACTCTGTCAAAGAAGAACATTCAGCGGCATTTTTAGTTTTCACGAGATACTTTGCAAGATCATCAGCTGTCTGTTCTCGCCCCTTGCAAGCAGTGTTTCATTGCCTTTTGGGTATCACCACTGATTGTTCTGACACCACTCACAAGAGTGTAAGTTTCACTACTCACCTATCACCTCAACTAGCCTTCAATTCTATTCATGTTGGAGTTATATTGATACACAATACTGACATGACAATCTTCACAGACACGTTCCTGCTCAACACCAACGTGAAGCCTTTCACTTTCTTGAGTCTACTCTTCACAACCTACAGACTGATATCGGCTCTGGCTGTCACACATGCAAAGCTACTTACTCAGGTCTCAACCTCAGTGACCTCTCTCACTGGCACATGGCCAACAGCAGACTGATACTCTGCATGGTTTCATCCTTAGACAATCTTGGATGCTGCAATGTTCCATCCAGGTATTAGTCTGTCAAGTCCACTATACTTACAGAATTACACTCGGACTGGGTGCAGACAGCTTGGCATCAACACCTTTGACCCTGATTCAACGACAGACACCACTGTCTGTCGAAAGCTTGGGTCCTGCTTCCCTGTCACGGGACCAGCGAGCTCAAACTATCGAACACTCGTTGACCCGATCGGAACATGGGAGTCTTCTGATTTACACACGGAGCCCTCAAATCATTATTGAGCATTGTCAGCTCACACTGTGGGAGTTCTTCTCCAGAGGGAGAAGAGCTCAACCCCTTCTCAGAAAGGCTTTCGCACTCTCCATCCACCGACAGGAGATCATCCTATCAGGAAGACCTATGCTTGGAGGAGGTTCTTCTGCATACAGCAGCAGAAACACAGACGAACCTGCTGCATTTAGACGAAATCCTATTTTCAGCTTAGGAATTGAGGGAGAGAGACAGTGATCAAACTGTTCCCAGAGGGGAACTTATAGGTCACTATCAGCTGTCCAGAGCGAGCTCCCGTCCGAAGTTTCTCTGAGCTCTGGGGTGCTAGGTTTTGGGCTGCCCTTTTCAGTTGCGCCTTGCCCCCCTTTCAGCTTCAGCCTCGCCCGCCTACAGCTGTCGACTGTTTTTCAACACTTGATGAAAAAGCCTCAGCGCGTCGCTCTCGTCTACATTCAGACTCGTTCACCAAGACTTTCGACGGTTCTCTTGACTCTCAACAAAGCACTAAGCCCTGACCTATCTCTTTACGATCGCGCATCCCACTTCCTTTTCTCCCTTAAGCTCCGACTCCTTTCCCACCAACAGTTTGCACGTTCAAGACGAAATTTCGCAATGGCCTCCAACATTTTCCTCACCCTGGGAGAGCGTACCGTAATGGTCGCTCGTCCTGCGACCTACCAAAATCTCCAGAGAGAGATCAGAACCCAGTTTCCGCGGGTCTCTTCAGTTTACAGCCTGGCAGTCCTTTTTCAGCCAGCCAATATCAACGGGGGCCTCCTCTCAAACTGGGTTGAGGTCGACGCAAGCGCATACAGCGCTGTCCACAACGGTGCGGAGCTGTTCGTCAATGTAGTTCACCCCCTCACCAAGGAATACATCTTACCATTGCCTGGTCTGCCGGTTCCTAATCGTCAACATCGCAAGCAGGTTCGACGAACAGACGGTCTCGGCAACCGTGTTGGCGTCGAGGATGGCGACCACGACGCCACAGCGCAGAGCGACCAGGTGAGCAAATCCAGACCCAGAGGGGTCTCAACCAGGACCAGAGGGTCCTCGCACAAATTCGACAATTTCTCGCTGAGCCTCGAGCTTGAGCAACCTGGTGGAGATGCCTTCGGCAGCGGCTGGGCTGCCGCGTCCGAACGCTTTCGGCGGTCGACGAAGCTTTTGCCCAACCTCAAGGATTGCAAGGAGGCGATCGGGCAGAGTGTTGGGGAGTCGAATTTTTATCCGGAAGATGAAGAGGAGCAGACTGCTGACTTTAAGCTGGGACTTCAGCGGCCTCAGGCCACAGAGGCCGGCTGGTATGCCGGCGCAGAGCCCACCCATGGGGACGAAAACCCGGGCGAAACCGCGGCCCAGCACCTTGCTGGTGGCGACGAGGACGAGGACGAGGGTAAGAAACACACACTATTCCATTCCAACGATGCCAACCGCAATTGGTTTGCCGCTTCCCATCCTGCTCAGAGCTTCCGAGGAACATCGTCGCGAAGCCGCAGAGGACGCCCGTTGCCCACGACCCCAAAATGGGGAGATACTGGTAAAGTTGGGCAACCATGGGGCCAGTACAGGACTCCTTCTCCCAAAGGATGGGTTCCATACCATGGTGAAGGCAACAACATTCCGGAATACCTGCGAAGCCTTTCTCGTTCCCCAAATGCTGGAGCTGGGAACTGGAGAGGCAACCCAGGAGGATGGAACTCACCACACAATGAGATGAATGTTGCTGACCAGGAACACTCTCGTATAGTTGCCGGCCCAGGCGACCACACCGAGGCTGGCCACCTCACCAATGGCGTCCAGGCCAACGGTGAGAACACCAATGGTGTTCTCGCCAACGGAGTTACCACCAACGGTAACTTGACCAACGGCCACGCGGCCGCTCACTCAGAGGTTAGTCACAGTCTTCAACACAAGCTTCAACACCACGGAGCCAGCGAGTGGAGCCCTCCGCGTCCACGGTCCAATGGTTATCACCGGCCCCAGTACCCGGAGATCCAAGGCTACCACCCCTATGGACAACCCAATTTCAAGGCTTTTGCTGGCTCCCGTCCCCGTCGTGACCCTGCTGAGATTACCTATGGCTCCCCGAGACCAAGGATCCAAGGAGACACCTCCGGATGGGCTACCATGGGCCGTAAGAAGAAGACCTGGGCTAACCAACCTGTTCAGGAGGAGAGCGACCGAGAGGGGGCACCGGGCCCCAACGCCAACAACAACCAAGCCTGGTATGCACAACCACCACCGCCCATCAACTTCAGCCGGACCCTCGGTCATGGAGGAGGTACCAAACACAGAGGATTCGCGAGGCACGGTTCTAACAATTATCAACAGAAGCAGAGGTCCGGACCAGAAATGAGCTGGGGGTCGGACTTCTGGGGTGGTGCGCCGCCCAACAGAACCCAGAGGGGCGCTTTTGCGCAAGACGAAACGCCAGCGTCAAAACACTGGCAGTAGTTTTCCCTCCTCTCCGAACCATGGCTGGTGAGTGGACTTTTCTCCCCTTGCGAGCACTGGTTTGGAATGCCATGACTAACAACACTTTTCACGTTTTAACAGTAACGCCAGGCTCTGTTCCGGCCTGCGGGCACGTACAACACTATTCTTATGGCTCCGATCGCCCCTCCTTTCCTTTGTCAACAACCAACACCTAATGCGATCGGAGTGCCGAAATTCAACAATACCAGACAACCCTGGATGAAGCTCCGGATTTCCGGAAAACAAAGCACTTCAGTGTGCTAAACGCAGATTGAAAATTGACTGCGATGATTTCTAACTCCTGCCGCCTTGTTGCTTGTGAGTGACACGTCTTCTGACCCATGTGTATCCCAGCCACGTTGCTGCCTCGTGGTTGGCCATTTGACATGTAGTGCACTTGTGAAGTTTCCCTGTTCTGGACCAGCCCACCGAACTCCGAGAATCCATAACTCTGCTCCTGAAGTAAATCATAACTTGCCCCAATTGTCCATTCTCTCCCACTCCATCGAGTCCAGCCACCTCATGAAGTCCGAGTCCTGCCCCAGGCTCATGGGAGGTTCAGCGCCGAAGCCCACGTTCATGCCCATGGAGTACCCCATGTCCGGCAGGCCCATGACCATCCCATTCATCGACCCCAACGTGTTCATCGGCGCGCCGTCCATATCCATCATCGGAATCATCCCCTGCATCCCCTGCTGGGGCTGCTGCAGCTGCCGTTGCTCCTGCGCGTGGTTGCAGACGCTCCCGCTGTCCGTCCTCTGCAGCACGACAGGCGGGCCGGGGCTGAGGATCCTGTCGAGGATCTTGGTGATGACCCTCTTTCCCTGCTCGCACACGCTGTAGCACCCATCGGTGGGCTGGACCGACCCGAGGCGGGACGCGAAGATGGCCAGGTCCTGGATCGTCTGGCTGCGCGGGAGCAGGGGGCGCTCCGGGTACTGGGGCAGCATCTCCTGCTTGAGCAGCTCGATGGCCACGATGGCGGCGCTCCGGAGGCCGTGGGAGCTCATGATGAAGCTGAAGCTCGTCTTGAACATTGTCGCGATGTCGTGGCGGTGCGTGATCTGCAGGACGTCCTTGAAGATGTCCAGCGCGGTCGCTATCAGCTTTTCGGGCGTGGCTCCCGTCTTCCGGATCAGGACTGCGGGGTTTGGGTGTCAGCATGATCGGTCGCGCGAGCCGTCTTCAAGATGGGTATGTGCTTTACCTCGCTGTAGCAGGAGCTCGTTGGAGCGCCGCCCGTTGCGCAGGACCATTATTTGCAGGGCGTGGAGCGGCTTGGCCATTGCGGGGTCGGTGAAGTCGAACGGCTCCCTGGATCGCTTGGACAGGAAAGGTGGAAGCGAAGACCAGTGTGCGTCGTGCTTCTCCTGTATGATCTTGGCTCGGTCAAGAACTTCGTCGCGTGTGTAGTGTCCGAGGGCAAGGTCGATGACATCCTCGCGGCGCATGGCGCAGTTGGCGTCTGGAACAAGTCAACAATGGCTGACGCCGAGCTCCAAATGGAGAAGAACGTACAGGAACGAGTCCACCCGGCGTGTTGCAAGTGACCGGCTGTATTGTACCCGTCTTTGTCGAGGGATGCGAGTGCGGCTTCGAGCTCAGGTCCCGTTTGTACGCTGTCCAACATCTCTAGTAAGCATCCCACTGGCATCACTGCCACGGCGCCCCGTAGCCCCGCGGGACAACAGGATCTTGGCCACTTTGGGGGGCAGGGAGGGGGTAAGAGCTCACAGTTGTCTCTCTGTCAGGTCCAGGGGTGGATCAATCGTACAATAGCGGTACGACAGCCGCGGCGGGCGGCCGAGGAATGAGGCGACGCTGATCTCCTGGAAGTAGGCGCAGACAAAGACGCGTTTGCGCATCTCGGCGAGGAAGAACGGCACGTTTTCGTCGGCTTTGATGCCTTGGTGCAGACCCATGGCGATGACTGCGCTATGCGCCTCGCCTGTCGCCCTGTACGTGGAGTAATCTCTGTCTCCCTTGACGGCACCCACAAGGGCCGAGTCCTCGCCCAACAGCCAGATAAACAAATCATCAAGCACTTCACAATACCGACAGAAGCCCAGGCAGTCTTCTGAGATCTGCTTCATGAGATTTATCAGGCACAGGCGTGTCACTTCACCTTCAACGAACAGCTGGTCGGACTCGGACGTCTCGATTGCACAAAGACCGATGTTGACGGCAATCAACCCCAAGGTTTCCCAGCGGAGGCCTGGACCGGTGGCCAGACGTGCCCATTCCAAGGCGGTCGTCTTTCCATTGAACACCAATGGCGTCAAGGTGTTACGCCAGATCAGCTCGCTTAGTTTTCGTATCTTGGCCGGCTCCTGGCTTGTAAGGGTGGCTCCATGGTCGAGCCAGATCTTTGCCAGCCACTCTTTCATGACGGCCTCGATGACAATGCCTTGTGTGCCCTCACAGACTTCATACCACCGTGCGATGAATCGGTGGATCATGGACTTGCGCCTGAAGAATGCAAGCACCTTGCACCCCTGTGTTATCCTCTCATTACTGATATGGATTCTTTGCTGCTGTGTACCAATGGTTGCATCCAAGTCTGTGGAAACGGGCTCCAGGATGCACAGGCCTTCGGACAAGATGTTTGAATACGAGTTTGGGCCGAGGAAGCCTGCATTCTTCCGCACCTCTGGAGCACGTTCACAGTCCAGTAGAGGCGCAGAAGCTGCCCTGTGGAAGGGCTGGCACACAACATGGCCGGGAGCTGGAGTGTTGGAGGTGTCGGAGTTGAACGGGGCCGGGGTACTTGAAGCCCATGGCTCCGAGATCTCAGGAGACGCCGACCCTGACTCTATGGACTGAGCGACCACGTGTGGGCTTGACTGGGAAGCTGAGGAGGAAGAAGGGGTCGGGATGGCCCTCGGAGGTGTCCGAGTCTTTTGCTGCTGGCACAGTCAGTACAGGGCACCTAGCAGGAAGATGGGCCCCAAAGGAAATGGAGACACAAACGCTTCTGCGCTGCGGATTGGCTGGCTTGCGGGCTCTCGGCGAAAAGGTATGAAAAGATCCATGGGTTTGCAGGAGATGATGGGGAGAAGGATGGGCATCTAACCTGCGTGAGTGGATTGGGGTGGTAAAAACATTGTTCAGTTCGATTCCGCTTGACACACCGCCCACAAGCCGGAACCACATCTTGGAATGATTGTAAGTCACGATTCCGTCTATACAGGCTCGAGGGCAGTTTGTTCTTCTTGTCACAACAAGTCCTTGTGTCTTAGACTTTAAGTCCGTCAAGACGGAGTCGGACAATGCCCTTGAGCAGAGTGGAGACTTTTGTCCGGTGGGGGGGGGGGGTCGGAACTCACGATCACACCTGAGCTTGCTCTTGCGGCATGGTTCACAGGACTGCAGCTTCCCATTCCGTCTGTACTTCTCTGTCAGGCTGGAGTTGCGGGCAGAGGAGACGCTCTGAACGCCGGCGTGGGTAAATCTGGACATCTTGGGTGGGTACACTTGCATGTGCCGTCGCAGAATAAGGGCACAAGACGCGCACAGAGTTTCAATTTCAGGGCCTTGCAGACCACTGTGTTGTCTGGTTATTGCCAGCAGAAAGCCCCGAGAGGCGGCCAGAAAGAGGATGAATACGCGAGAATTGTCGTGACACGGGCCCGTGGGAATGTCGACGGAGCGATGAGGAGGACGTTGGATGGCTCGGAGCTCGGAGCTCGGAGCTCGCCAAAATGTACTCCGCAAGGCCCAGCGAGGCGCCTCAGCTGCTCTAGCCGCTTCAGGCTGGCCGAATCCTTCTTGTCGTTGCTGGGCATCGGAGATAAAAGCAACTAGGCTCAACGGCTGAGCTCCGAAGCAGATGAGTCAGGCACAGACCACGCCGGATGACTTGGACGCGTATTCCGTTGCGTTGATTTCCGATCTCGTCATCTCGGAGTCAGGGCGGTTGAGTAAGACGGACAAACATAGCACCAGAACTAACAGCTCGAGATCCAATGAGCAGAACACAGATTGACTTTGCCTTGCCGGCAGCGCCAAAATATGACCTACACCGCGCCCTTTTGCGACCCCTAGCCTATCAGGCAGACATCATATGAAGGCCTGCCAAGAATGCGTATAAGAGTTTGCGATATCCAGCCCTGAGGCATCAAAGTCATCGTATTCGCAACACCTCATAAACATACTGCTCTCTAATACTCGATCTCCACTCTCAAACACCGTACTTACGACACCACGAGCCTTGTCAACGACCACTCCTGCCGAGCCACTATACAAAATGCCTTCCAAGCTCAACATCTTCTCCAAGGGCTCCCGCTCCAAGTCTGGTAGCGCTACCGACCACTCAAAGCTACAAGATCCCCGCGGCTCCACCGAGTCCTCGACGCCCCTGAATGAGTCTGTCGACCTCGCACAAGAGAAACAAAAGGCACGGGAGGCTATGCGGCAAAGGCAAGCCGAAGAGGTCCTGGCAAAGCAAGGCTACGTAAGTCTGCCCTGGACATCTCGCAGCAACCCACAAGCGAGCTGACGGATCGCTGACAGTCGGCCACCTTTCCTGGCTTCCCGCCTTACAGAAAGTAACGGCCCGACACTCTGGTGCATTCAAGGGACCCATCTGAGATGTTAGCGTCTGGTTGATCTGTTGGGGGTCTCGGGGGACTTTCCTTTGCGTCTCGCGTGTCTTGTTGTTACGGTGATGATATCCCAGGGCCGGCGTTCGATGTTTGGTTTCCTATCATGTCACGGTTTGTCAAAGGAGTTCCTGCAATGCGACTTTGCAGGAAGGTGATGTTGGAAGGTCAGTTTAGAAGCCACTGAAGATTGAACGCATCTTGGGCTGCTGGCAACGAACAGGGTGAACCTGTGTTGCCACCCACAGCTGAGAAATTGACCAACTTCTGAACACTTCCATCCGATTTTTCAAAGCGTCTTTTCCATTGCGCGCGCCTTCGACAGTAGCATTGCCTGAAACCTTTCCACACTTGAGCACCCATCTCCCATAGCACACTTCCGCCCACACCTCCCACTTCATCCATCTTGCACTTCTCCCCTCCGTCAATCACGAAGGTGGTCGAAAGACTCTGCCGCATCTTTGGCGAAATTCTTCCTTCCAGCAGGGTTACCATCCCATCTACGACAGGCAGGCACCCACAACATTCAACTGCCCTCGACCGTCCACAAAACTCCCACAAGACATTCAACCCAGCCTGAACCTCTCCACATCATCAAACCTCCAGCGCCACCGACGGAACACTGCCGACCATGGAGAGCGTCATCATCCTCATCTACGGTGAAGACCGACACCTCATCCACAAGCCTGCCGACTACGACAGCCTGGTCGACGTTGCGCGCGACAAGTTCCCTGAGGTTGACTCTGCCTACGATGACAACGACATTGCTTTCCACTTCACTCCAGAGTGGTTCGACGGCGACGTCAAGCTGGGCCGCGACGCTTTCGCCGAGGTGCACAATCGTGCCGTCCTTCGCGTCACCACGACTGCCTTTGTTCCTGCTCAGCGCTATGGCAAAGACGGCAAGATTCAAGCTGGTGGTTTTGCAGGCTCGCGTTCTGATTACCTGCCATACGAGAAGATGAGACTCTGCGTCATCCATGGTAGGTGCATAGTCAACCCCAGACACCCTCACATTGTATTACCTGCCGTGGCGTATACTAACGGCAGCAGTCCCTTCTGACCGCAAGGGTTGGTTCTCCGTGAAGCCTGGAATGGCTTTGTCGCGGCTAATGGCCGGCGCAGCCAAGTTCTTTGGGGTTGAACGTTATGACCACCGCTTTTACTACCAGCGTGAGGTCCTCGAGGACTACGATACGCCAGAGAGCATGGCCATGGAGGACTGCGACCTCGTGGAGATGCACAGTGAGTTTTGATTCACTGCTCTCAACCCTTACTGAATGCCAAGGGCCAGCAAAGAATGGTCAGAAACACATGCAGTACGACTCTGGTGGCAAAACAGCGACATTTTACACAAGTGAGGAGGCAAGGATGGAAGCAGGGTTTTGGCCTGGGTGGGCAGCAACCAAGCCTGAAAGCTATCGAGGGGACAATTTACAGTTGCGAAGCGAGGCGTCTTGCTCCAACCAATGAGTAGGTAGGCATCGTCGTTCATTCCTCTGACGACATGATTGATGCTTTTGTCGGACTTTCAATCCGGCTTGCCATGGCTAGCTTCAAGCTTGACTTCTCAAGCCTTCTCGGATAGAAAGCATTCAAGCCTTTTTTGACACATTTCCTGCATTGCCCCCGAGACGCTTGCCCGTTCACATGTCACACAAGCCTTTTTTGGGTCAATTCTGTTGCAGTGTTGGCAGTCTCGTTCAGCTTGTGCGCTGGATAAATCCAATCTGTGACCCTCAACTCTCGTTTGCTCAGCCATTCCTACCAACAGTCCCGTTCGATACGTCCCCTCCGAGTAGGTCTTGTTGACCTACAATGACGATGCCTTCGTCCACAGTCACACACGGCCAAATCTTTATATGCTAGTTCCCTTAGGATATAGCCCTTTTACGCCTTGTGGAGTGTTTATGACTTTGCATTGCCATAGTGAATAAAGGAGGGGTGGCCTGATGTCTCCTATGGCCAAGAATGACCTCTGTGGACGGAAGGTGTCTTACGAGATAATCTGTTGTAGGTCAACTTATATGTGCTGTGTGATATACTAGACATTCGGGCGGAATGTCTTTTATGGAGAGATTCGGTATTGACTACAAACACATCACTTCGGTCAGCTGTCCTGAAGGAGCAAGTCTCAAGGTTGGCTGGCTCGATTAAAAAGCTTGGGACTGAGTCCACTCTCAAGTGCTCCAGCCGCCCGGCCACATGTTTTCAGGTATGAGACAGTCTGATAATGATCACATTCGTAGTTTTATTTACTCCCTTTTGTTTCTTTCAACTTCACAGGCAGGGATAATGATCCCCGGTAGGAGACACGGCAATCTTCTTTTTCCCCATCCCTCAGAACTACTTTGTAGAATAGATAAACTCGCACGGAAGTCCGTATCTTTGCATTCTCTACCAATTTTTAGGCCGACCGGCGAAGTGAATTGTGCTTTCAAAGACGACTGCTGGTCTGGTCGAAGCGACGAATTTAGGTGAAATGCTTCAGTACAAGAATTCAACAGAGGTCATCGGATATTTGTCAAACTTACGAACATTGAAAGGCTTCAAGGTGTCAAAAACCGTTCTCCGGGGACCGATCTGACCGAGTGAGGCAACGCGGCCCACGATGTCCTCCGTCATTCCCAAGTATTTCCGGACATCGTGCATATTTTCTCTCGGAGTCCGCAGGTCAAAATGGGTCCTTGTGATACACTAATGTACTACCCAGACAGTTGATATCATGATGCTCGCAGACTCTACAGCGTCTCGATCGTCCTTTCAAATAGAAATCCGAGCAGAAATCTGCCCAGCCCGGAGGAGCTTTAATTTATCAGACATTCAGTACAATAGCCTCGCTCACGATCCTCATTTTCTTTGTTTTTAGTCATCGAACCCAAGGCCTAGGATTGCAGGATTAGACTGTTTGGGTGAAAAGTTAATTGATTGTGGCAAAGCGGTATCCAAGTATCTGATAACGAGCTCCCAGCCGACCTCCACGAAGGTTTGCGACCGGAAAACCGGCGAAGAATAATTAGGAATAGCTCGGCAGTTGTAACACAAGCGGCCGTGAAATCTAGCGCTTCCTATCTTGCCGATTTAAACCCGGGCAGATCTACATGTACCCAAGTACAAAACGCTTATCACACATCTTATGATGCTTATCTCTCTGAAGCAACATGGCCTGCTCAGTGCCGGCCGATCACTGGTGTGGTAAACCCCGCTGGCTTCAAGATGTCATCAACTTTGATAAGGTGGTCGGACATACTCTTGATTTTCCAGTGCAAAGCCTACGAGTAGGCAGTGGTCACCACACGTGATATGTCTTCTAATCTCCCCCTCACCTCGTCCGTAATACTTTTGGTTCAGGGAAATATTTCTGCGGCCCCATCTATACTGGTGACCATATCCTCTTCAAGAATCTCTGGCTGCTCATACCTGAGCGTCCTGTTCAGGAATTCGTATTTCTATAACGCTCATGTTCTAAACCAGAAGTACCTGACACACTGCCTTCGGCGTGCACTTCCATCTAATATTACCTCTCTCGATTAAGGGCTTTTCTTATTGCAGCAGACTATTCAATATGGCCAATGAAAATGGAGTCCTCGTACTGAGCCAGGGTATAGGATATGGCATCGTCGTTGGCATCGGAGCCTTCTTTGCTCTTATGATGTGAGGGATATCAGGCTAGGGATGCCACCACACACTCAGAAAAGCAACTAACTCTTCGTTGGCAGGCTTGCTATAACATACCTCCAGAATCGCTACACCACTTACTCAACAAAACAGTCTGAGGAGTTCAACACTGCATCCCGGAGCGTCAAACCGGGGCTCATCGCAGCAGGCATCGTCAGCTCTTGGACATGGAGCTCAACGCTCCTCACGTCGAGCACCTTTGCTTACTCGTACGGCATCGGCGGGCCCATGTGGTACGCAGCGATGGGTTCCTCGCAGATTCTCCTCTTCTCGTTGATCGCCATAAAAATCAAGACCAACGCCCCCGGCGCTCACACCTTCCCGGAGATTATCCTCGCGCACCACGGCCGCCTGAACCACCTCACGTACCTCTTTTTTGCGTTCGCAACCAACTTGCTTGTTGGATCATGCCTCGTCCTCGGAGGCAGTCAGGTCGTCGGCGCCCTGTCCGGTGTCAACGTCTACGGTGCCTGCTTTCTCATCCCGCTGGTGGTCGCGGCATATGTCATCGCCGGCGGCCTGCGGAGCACGTTCATCGCCGACTACGCGCACACGGTGATCCTGTTCGTCGCGATCCTCACGTTCGGCTTCAGCATGTACGAGACGAGCCCGACGGTCGGGAGCATCGGCAAGTTCTACGACCTCCTCCTCGAGGCCGGGAAGGACATGCCGATCCCCGGCAACGCGCACAACGGGTCGTACTTGACTTTCAAGTCGGATGATGGGCTCGTGTTCGCCATCGACTTGCTGGTTGCAGGATTTTGTACGGTCTGGCTGGACCAGGCCTACTGGCAACGCGCGATCGCCTCCCGGCCCGAGACATCTGTCAAAGCCTATCTGTTTGGCGGCATCGCGTGGTATGGAATACCGTTTGGATTTGCGACTGCGATGGGACTCGGCTGCGCGGCGCTGACGTCCAGCCCCTCGTTCCCGACATATCCCAATCCGCTCTCGGCAGCGCAGAACGGCAGTGGCCTGTCTGCTCCTGCAGCTGCTATCGCGTTGCTGGGAAGCGGTGGTGCGGGACTCCTGCTTCTGCTCTTGTTCATGGCCGTCACGAGTGCGACCAGTGCGGAGCTTATCGCGGTGTCGAGTCTCATCACGTTCGACATTTACAAGACATACATCAAGCCGACGGCGAGCTCTGATGAGCTTGTCCGGATGAGTCATTATGGCATCATAATGTTCTCCGTAATCCTGGCCTCATTTTGCTGCATACTGAACGCTGTCAGCATCAACTTGACCTGGGTACTGACTGTCCTTGGTGTGATTGTCGGTGGCGCCTCTATTCCCATTGGACTGATCTTGTTATGGGAGCCAATGTCGTCGGTGGCAGCCTTAATATCTCCCTGGATCGGCACCGCACTGGGCCTCGTTGCTTGGTTTGTCGTGACCAAGCTCCGCAGTGGAAGCATCTCGGTGGAAACGACAGGCGATGTTACGAACGCCGTGGCTGGGAACGTCACGTCGTGTTGCACCGGTGTTATCATGGCGTTCGTGTTATCATACCTTTCTCCATCAAAATGGGGATCAGCGGAGGCCAACGGCGATCTTCTTGCAAAGATCAGACTGGACAAGATCCTGCACGGCATCCCCACCAATTCCGCACCAGATACAGCAGTGGTCGACAACCGTGCTGGGTCGGACTTGGAAAAATCTGTGAAAGGTCCAATTGTACCCCAGGAAGAGAATAGTGACCAGCCTGCGTCGGACCCGGCCCCAGAAACTGTGGCCCCCACGGGAAACGCGATTGTAGACTTCCTTGAGGCTTCATACTTACAGCCTATGGACGCTCAACAGGCTCGAGTGGCAACGAGGCTGGCTTACGGATTCAACATTGCGTACTGGACCGTAGCAATGATCCTAGTACCATTTGCGTTCTTCGGCACCGAGTGGGAGTTTACACGAGCGGGTTTCGTGGGATGGTGCATTGTGTCTTTCATATGGGTGTGGTTCAGCGCACTGATTTGTATCATGTGGCCGATGTGGGAGAGCCGAGAAACGATGTGGGCGATCGTGAAAGGTATATTTCATGATGCTCGTGGGACGGAAAAGGCCTGATTCGGATTGGCACGGCGTCGTGCACGAATTTGAGAATCTTCCAGAGGCTTGTCAGAGTTGATAGTCAAGTGTTGTATTAAATCATTCTGCCTTGGTGTTTCGAGGAAATAATCATGGAGTCATGTTACCAGAAAGGGTGGGTAAGATCTTACAGGCGTCTAGTGCCTCGATTGTCCCGAAGTTTAGCCTGGCGCCACGATGATGTTGTGCTCAACCCCTCTCTGACCTTCCCCCTACCCATTTATTCCTATCGCGACTCCACGCCTCGCGCGGGCCTGCTCTCATCACAGTATCTAGTCTTCCGGTCTGTTTTGCGCTGCCAATATGATATCACCAAAACGCAGTGAGCTCCCACAGGAGGGAGTTCGAGACGAAGTGACGGCTGGCAACTCCGAGTCTGGTGGAGGGCCTTACACCCTCTTAATATTCACCTTCTCCCTCTATTCGATCATGGCGCGATTCGCCATTGAGCTTGGGAAAGAGTATCACCAGGGACCCAATGGTGTACCCAACATCAGTCACAAACTTATCGACCTTCACCGTGATGAGAACCTCGACGAGTGGTTCCTGACTCTCAACCCTAGCGGTCAGGTACCTATTATGACCCGAGAATGGGGAAACGGGTCGACAAAGCCACGCCTTGAAGTCACCACGGAGAGCGTGGTGATTTCGAAATTCTTCGGAGAAAACTTCTTTCCGGGGCTGCTCGGCGGTGCACACACAGGGGAGGTTGACAGGTTGCTGGCAAAGATACACGCAATACAAGCCTTCTCGTTGAGCATCAAAAGTCCTACAAAGGAGCAGGCGGTGGAAGTACCAGATCCAGGTCAGGACGAGCGGCTCGCCAGAACAGATATATCTGACAAGTATCGGCGTGCGCTAGAGTATAAAAGAGTACAGTAAGTATCCATTGATCACTACTTGCTGAGTGCCTCTGCTGTATGACTAACAGTAGCAGCTACTATGACAACTTGGCGTACGCGTTGCGACCAGAAAATATACAGAAGGCAAAAACCCAAGCCGCCGACCTCTTCCAGGAACTCCTGCTGATTTGTCGAGAACACCACTCGAGCCCGGCCACTGAGCAAGAGCAGGATCGGGCTATCTGGCTGTTTGGTGCTGGAACGGGTCCGACCATCCTGGACGCACACGCTGTGGCTTTAATAGCTCGTATAGATGATGCAGGTCAGGAAGAACTAGTGCCAGGTGACCTGCTGGCCTACGCACGAAAGGTTCGCAGCTTGCCCGCTTGGGAGGCTGTAACCCATGGCAGGGAGACAATCTGGAACAAGGGTTATGGGCATGTCTACCTCCTCAAAGACTTCTGAGCAGGAGGGAGGGACAGAGCAACTCCGTTGTGTGGCTTTGTGAAGGCACTTCCAGTCTCATATGTCAGTCTAGTCCATTGAATGCCGAGGTGCCGTCCAGAGCCGTGAAGAGATGCGAGTCCAATCCGTGATGGGCGACTGACTGCACGACTTGAGTCAAAGAAGTCAGGCGGAAGAGATGTGATCTCTGAGAGTTGCCAGGCGGTGGGGATTGGAAGGGCAAGACCGCAACCTTGTTGACTAGTGAATGCCTGTTCGTTGCTTCTGACAAACGCTCGCGCCATGTGATAATGGTTCTGTGGCCGTATATGATCGGGACCTGTCCTGCTGAGGACCGAAACACATCCCGAATACCCGACCAGCCCGAGGAAGTGATTTTCAGTTTTGACGGCCCAGCCACGCAGCGTAATGCCTTCAAGCTCAACAAATGGTCATGTCGCCGAAATCAGCCAAAATTTTCATCGTTACTGGCCAATTGGCGGGCCACGGCGGCATCTGATGTCAGGGTATGGCCTGACAATACCATCGTGAAGGGTGGGAGCTCGGAGAGGCTTATCGTCGAGGAGGTGGCAGTGTGCCGGCCAAAGTAGTACCGAAAGGGGTGAGTTTCTCGGGTGAAGCCGGCCCCACCCCGGGGCTCAGTCCAATGATCACGGAGGCGCCTTGGGATCTCGGCGGCATTATCCCACAATGCATTTTAGCCAGAGCCGCTAAGGAAACACAATGGCTTGTGTTTTGTCAGGGGTTGAGCCGCGGTGTGCGCTTCTCCTGGACGACGGCTTTGGGAATGGAGCCAGCTCGGTCCGTTTTCCAGAGCGGTGGGTGTGGGTCTGCGGGCTTGAAGTGGACACTCTGGGGCATCTGGGGTGACCCACAGCCCCGAACACTCCCCGTATCAGGCGCTGACACGGCACGATGGAAGGGCCGTTTGCTGCAGCCTGCAGGAGATTCCATGGGGCGAGAGATAAGGGGGTGCACTGGACAGTCACGGGCCGTGGTTCCTGATGGAAGCCATCGTGAGAATGCGGTCCTGCGCAGCGTCAGCTGTCCTCCATGAGTCGCTCAGACTCTGCCCGGTGGCCGGCAACTAACGGCGGCTACGGCGTCCCGTGGACTGCTTCCGAGGCGAAGGAAATGGATGATGCCGCGCATCTTTGCTTGCAATCAGTAGAGGTAACCTGCCGGGTTTGGCCACATCACACGGAAACGCCTGCACATCGAGCCGTCGCTGAGCCGTCGATTTGCCTCAGTTGCCTCAGTCGCCTCCGTCGATGCTCGATCGATTGACTGCATTGCTGGTTGATGGCGAAATGATGTGCAGTCTCCGTAGTAAGTGTCTGCAAAAAGAAGAGGCCGCCGTGCGGCCGCACGGAACTGACGGAACTGACGGATCGAGCTATTCCAGCCAGCCATCGGAGCAGTCGCCAGCGAGGGGAAAAGGCTGGAGCACCAACGGCTACAGTACACTCCCGTATAACAAAACGCACGAAACTGGAGAGTGCCTGCCTGGCTGTGGTTCCTCCCATCCACTGAGGATAGCCGCTGCATGGCACGTTCTTCCCCTATTCAGCTGCTGAGACAGAGGCTTGAACCAACAGAGTAATCCGAAAATAGTGAAAAGGCGGTAGGAGAGGTTCTTGTTTTGTAAGCAGCCAATCATGGTGTGCTTGCCAACGGGCAGCGCGGCGGTCCAGACTTTGCGATCTTCAGGTCCAATGGGACTTAGGCGGAGGGCCGCTTACAATGGACCGACGGGCGTTTTGGCAGTCTGCTTGTGAATACTGTGTTGCCGTCTGCCTGCCTTGGGTGGCAATTGATAATTCGACGCCGGAACCTATACACCTGCGTGTATGCAGACATCTTGGAAACGGAGTCACATCTAACCTCAAAAGTGCATATAAGCAGTAAATATAGACGGGTGGACAGCGGCCTCGGGGAAGCATGTTGGTGTGCAGTAAAAGTGCTCAGGCTCGGAGGTCTTGAAACTTTGTGAGCGGTCCGGGCCAGGCGGCCAACGCCAGATACCAGGGATAACATCAAGAGACCCATTAAGCTAGCCGTGCAAACATGAATCAGTGATGGCTGGCATCCTGCATCCTGCAGCCAAACCTTGTACCGAAAGTGATCAGTACGTGGAACAAATAGCAACAGCAGGCTTGTAGACTCGAACTGCATTCCTGTGTCGGGCGGGAAGACACAGTCGGGGTCTCAAACCCAGCGGATCCGCGCCCGACTAACCAATATGCATGCTGACGATGGCTTCAGTGTGTCATGGGCGTGGGCAGGGTCGGAATGCGGTGGGGACCAGGCCAAAGAAGCATCGCGTCATGCGCGATGAGGCAATTGCAAGCTTGTGAGCCGTGCAGTAGTGAGGGCTTCGTGAGCCTACGTTTTGGGAATGAGCCGATGACACTTGGCGGCGAGGCATGGAGCAACACCTGCAGGGTCCCTTGGCGGCACCCGTCAGAGATCTGCAACGTTGGTCCGGCTTGGACCAGGAAGGGCTCGATGTTGCCAGCGCTCTGAGATGAGGCAGCTGTGATGAAAGGGACCCACTCGGGCCTAGTCATCGCGATGGTCGTCTCCCGTCAGGGGCCGCCAGAATGACGCCGACGAATGACGCCCCTGGCCGATGACGTCGTGGAGCTGTGCCCCGCCATGCACGGTCATGCCTTCCCCAAAGACGCAAGAGGGCGGACGATGCGGGATAATAATGGGGCCAGGCACAGGCCAGCGAAGGGCCTGGGCCCGTGAACGGTGGAAACGGTCCCCGATCGGGGACTACACAGTGACTGATGGAAACGACGGGCAGAAAGACGGAGTAAAACGCGCATGCAACCGGGTACTCTGGCAACACGCCGTGCCGAACTGTAGCTGCATCGTCGCACTGCTCTCGGGACCGGGAAATGTTGCCCTGTAGTGTAGGAGCGTATTAGACAGCACCTTACAGCCCCGACCCAGACGCACGTCACTTAGCCACGTTGATCACTGCCTCCTTGAATTGACGTCACTTTTCTTCGTATGGCCCTCGCCGGTTGTCTACTGCAACGTGCAACGTGCGAGCTAATTGTTGACTGGGACGAAAGAAAACGGTGGATGGGCGGGCAACCAGGCATTGGCAACTCAACCCCTTTGGAAACTCTGCTCAAACTGCTCAACTGCACTGACTGTGGGTAGTCCCGCCTGTGACACCAGCACCATCTGCCACGTTGTGACGGGACAGGAAATGATCAGAGGCTGTCCAACCCAAACGCGTGGTCCTCCCCGCCCAGCCCCAGCATATGGTCCAAAACCAGCAAATAGTTCAGATCTGGGGTTACCGGCGAGGTCACTGGGGTGCAATATAGCATTCATCCTTTGCAAGGGCCCGAGACCCCCAGCTTGGAGGACAAAGGCGTCGCGGTGGTGTCCGAGATAGAGTGGCCGGAGCAGATGAGCGGGATGGCAGTCGGGGGATTCCATGCTCATGCCGATCTTTTTGGTGGAGGGACGGCTACAGCCTGCGGCTCAGTTGCACGCGGCCGGCCAGCCAGCCTTGGCCGTTTGGCCCTCGAAGTCTAATAAAAGTGATGGCCCAGGAACGACATCAAAGCGCCGGCATGTACATACATCGCGGGGCGGTGAGGTCGGGCTCTTTTATTTGATCTGAGATGGTAGAGCTAATCTGTCTCGCTGAGGGAATTGCCGTCGCCAAAGGGTGGCAGGTCAGCAGAGAACCCACCACCCGTTCGCTGCCAGGTCCGAAGCCCAGCCTTAAGGACCCACTCATTGTCAGCCCAGAGATCACAGCATTTCAGCAAAGAGATTTTGACTGAACATCGCCTGTCTAAGATGGGTTCTGGTGTGAATACGGGCAGAGTCGAGAGTGACTCTTCGCTTGTTCACCTGAGCGATTAGGGGAGAGACGGCGAGAAATAAGCCGGTCAACACCACCAAGTTGGTGAGTCTTGGGTGGTGCGCTGTGCGACTTGCTGCACTCCTTTCCTGCGGCCGGCTTATACGAGAGGAGGAGGGGGTTGCAGCACATACAGACACCCAAGCATGCCGCCAGCCTGCTCGTCACATCCAGCGGCTGGGGTCTATGCAGCAGTGACAGTGACAATGTGCTGTATTATTAGTATTCTGTACTACCTCGAAAGTTTCTCACCGTGTCTGCCGCTGCCGTAGGCACACGTAGGCTGCTTCTGTAGGATGCACAGAAACAAAACAAATGTCTCAGACGTTGGCCGTCTGGTCAGCCCATCCGCTCGTCCTCACAACAGGCTGCGCCCCTAGCCAATGACAATGACGATGCAATCGAAAGACCGTCCAGCCGTCCCATTCCGGGTCTGCGGACCAACCTTGTCATGCACTAAAATCTCTCATTTGGAAGAGCCCAATCAGGCCTTGGTCAGGACATGGTGATGGTGGCTCAGATTGCAGGCCGTTTTGCAAGCTCGGCCTTGGCCAGACCAACACCGGTCCGTTTCAGCCAGCGTCTGTTGGCCCGTTGCTAGACCCACAGAACCGGAAAGGTCTGATTCTAACACATTCCACAGGCAGGTGGTGCAGGATTTGTTTGCGAGAAACCTTGGAAGGGAGCCCCACTCCCCCATCACCCAGAGGCGCGGCCGGAGACTGGTAGCGCTGGACCGACAGCGTTGGACAGTGGGCCCCTGGTCACACACATGGGCCCCACCTGCTTTTCCCAGTGGGCTTTCCCTGCGCTCCTCCCCCCGGCAGCCGACCACAGCGACGTCAGGGACGAGGGACTCCATGTGAGGTAACTGCGACTCACGAACCACAGACCCCTCCTTCGCTTTCCCTTCGCCTTCGGACACCTCTGGTTGTCATACATAAATGCATTCTCCCTCCCTTCTCCCAAAACCACTTTCCCTCCTGCCTCACTTCATTAAACCCAACCACCATCATCAACTCCGTTCAAATCATCAAGACTCCCATCACGACGAATAATCACGTTCGTCGTTGTCCTCAATACTTCATCTTCAACTAGTCCATCACCCAGGACTATCCCTCCAACTATCATCCACCCCCCACTTTCCCAACCTCACCGTCCAGACACCCTCATCAGTCAGCTCTCTCAAAGTCCTGTCACAATGGCGAACAAGTCTCTCAAGGCCGTTCACTTTGGCGCTGGCAACATTGGCCGTGGCTTCGTCGCCTGCTTCCTGCACAACAGCGGATATGAGGTCGTCTTCGCCGATGTCGTGCCCGAAGTTGTTGACAAGCTGAACTCCACCAAGGAGTACAAGGTCATCGAGGTCGGCACCGAGGGCACAACAGAAAACATCATCACCAACTACCGTGCAATCAACTCAAGGACTCACGCCGAGGACCTGGTGAATGAGATTGCCACTGCCGATGTCGTCACCTGCTCGGTTGGCCCTACCATCCTCAAGTTCATCGCACCTGTCATCGCTCAGGGCATCGACAAGCGTGCTGAGGACCTCAAGCCGCTCGCTGTCATTGCTTGCGAGAACATGATCAACGCAACCACCGCCCTTGCCGATCACATCAAGGACCCTAAGAACACCCCGGCAGAGCGCCTCGACACCCACGACAAGCGCGCCCGCTACGCCAACTCTGCTATCGACAGAATTGTCCCTGCACAAGACGCCGACGCTGGACTCAACGTCAAGCTCGAGAAGTTCTACGAGTGGGTTGTGGAGCAGCTGCCCTTCGAGGGCGAGCACCCCCCAATCGACGGCATCAACTGGGTCGAGCACCTCGAGCCCTTCATCGAGCGTAAGCTGTACACTGTCAACACTGGTCACGCCACCGCCGCCTACCACGGATATAACCGCAAGAAGCGCACCGTCTACGACGCCCTGCAAGACAAGGAGATCCTGGCCGAGGTTAAGAAGGCCCTGGCCAACACCTCCGACCTGATCACCTCCAAGCACGAGACCTCCGAGGAGGAGCAGGCTGCATATGTCAAGAAGATCATCTCCCGCATTGGAAACCCCCACCTTGAGGATGCCGTCGAGCGTGTCGGCCGTGCTCCTCTCCGGAAGCTTGGTCGAAAGGAGCGGTTCATCGGACCCGCTGCTGCGCTTGCGGAGTTGGGCAAGGACTGCAGCGGCCTTCTCGATGCCGCTGAGATGGCGCTCCGTTTCCAGAACGTCGAGGGCGACGAGGAGTCTGCGGAGCTCGCCCAGAAGATGGCATCCATGGACGCCGACTCTATTGTTGGCGAGGTTTGCGGGCTGCAGAAGTCCGAGAAGCTTTACCCCATGATGGTAGACATTGTCAAGAAGGTGCAGGCCGATGCTGAGGACTAGACGTTCCCATGACTGTCTAGATGAGATTTCATGACGAGACGAGATTCGGCGTTTCAAACTGGTTCTAGGGATTATCGTACGGTGTTCGGGGAAACGGGATTACGGACATGCATACCCCATTATGGCTGGCTTTACTTTTTTTTTGTCTGGTATTCAGCATCACCTGAGAAATGGTGAGGGGAAACTTGCCGTCCAGCATGAGACAGAGCAACCAAAATAAACAAGACGTTCTGAACTAAGATTTTGTGCCTCAACATGTTCTGTGATCATTGTAGGGGATGATGAAGCCGAGACTGAGCAAACGTCTGGGTGCCGAGGAGATGCCTAAGACCCCGGGTTCGCTCCTCCCAGACAGATGGTAGCGTAGATGTCTTCAATTCTCAAAAGAAACGCCACAGGGACCAACGAGTGGAGATAGAGGCAGTGGCCGCCCAACAATACAAAGGCACGGTTTTCACAGTGGTTGGTGGTGATAGTTGAGAGATAGTCTTGTTGGTCAAAAGTTGAGGACGACGACATGGCCGACCGTGGTGTTCATCTGTACAACTCCAGCCTTGAATTCGTAGTGGCTAGTATTGTTGGTGAGAGCACTAAACTTTACCCCCGCAGGTAACGCTTTTGGGCCAACTTGGCTGGGCGAACGGGGTGTCCATAAAGGGCTCTTAGCACCACCCCACAAATTGCTGCCTCAGGCAAAAAGGCCCTTGCCCAAGGCTGAGCTCCCCAAAGACCACATCTCAATTGGCAGTGAACCTTGCGAGAGCTCCCTGAGACGTGGCAGCAGCTTGCCATTCACCCACAGGGACACTACCCACATCACGCCCGACCAACTCCTACTGGCCCCTGCCATCGCATTCTCTCTACATCCAATTCCATCAATCAGTTCTGGGTTGAACAAGGTCAACTCTGTTCACCACAGAAAGAGTCGTCCTTCCTTGATGTTGGCTTGTCTGCCACCGACATACGCCCCACCACCCTGAACCTCGAATCCACGACGAGCGATTGTCCCCTTCTAAACCTCGAGCCACGAAATCGATAGCACCTGCCCAGCATGAGGCTCGACGTCAAGGTACGCGCATCCCAGCCTTACCACCACCGGCCCAGTCCTGCCGCAGTTGGATAGCTTCATGGGAGCAACAGATACCCCTGGCATCGTCGCTAGTCGCATTGGAGCTGCTGCTTCGAAGCCCAAGCCGTGGCAGGCCGGCTCTTCCCAGACGCATCCCACAATGTAGAAGACGGACAGGAGAATTGCTAACATCGTGTCTTTCTGAATGCAGCGCCAGCTCTTCGCCCGGAGCGAGCGTGTCAAGGGCATCGACTTCCACCCGACGGAGCCATGGATACTCACCACCCTCTACAGCGGCCACGTATACATCTGGAGCTACGAGACGCAGGCCATCGTCAAGACATTCGAGCTGACGGACGTGCCCGTGCGTGCGGGTCGATTCATCGCGCGGAAGAACTGGATTGTGTGCGGCAGCGATGACTTCCAACTGCGAGTCCACAACTACAACACATCAGAAAAGGTCGCCAGCTTCGAGGCGCATCCCGACTATATCCGCGCAATCTGTGTCCACCCGACGCAGCCATTCGTCTTGACGGCTAGTGATGACATGACGATCAAGTTATGGAATTGGGACCTTGGGTGGAAGTGCCAGCAGACCTTCGAGGGACACTCGCATTATGTCATGTCGCTGGCAATCAATCCCAAGGATACCAACACATTTGCGTCAGCATGTCTGGACAGGACAGTCAAGATCTGGTCGCTCGGGTCGTCGACAGCAAACTTCACCCTGGAGGCACATGAGCAAAAAGGCGTCAACCACGTCGACTACTACCCACATTCCGACAAGCCATACCTCCTTACCACCAGCGACGACCGAACAGTAAAGATCTGGGACTACACCACCAAGTCTCTCATCGCCACCCTCGAGGGTCACACCAACAACGTGAGCTTTGCGTGCTATCATCCTGAGCTCCCGGTCATCATTTCCGGTTCAGAGGATGGAACCCTACGAATATGGCACGCTGCTACCTACCGCTTCGAGCAGAGCTTGAACTACGGCCTGGAGCGAGCCTGGTGCGTCAGCTATCAGCGGGGCAAGCAGAGTGTCGCCGTGGGCTACGACGAAGGATCGGTCGTGGTCAAGCTTGGTCGCGAGGAGCCAGCCGTCTCGATGGACGGCTCCGGCAAGCTAATCTGGGCCAAACATAACGAGGTGGTCTCGGCTATCATCAAGGGTGGCGAGGCTACCAAGGACAACGTGCCCATCAACCTCACCACCAAGGATCTCGGCAGCTGCGAAGTTTACCCATCTACCCTCTCACATTCGGCCAACGGTCGGTTCGTCGCGGTCTGCGGTGACGGCGAATTCATTGTATACACTGCACTCGCGTGGCGCAATAAGCAATTCGGATCGGCGCTGGACTTTGTCTGGGCCTCCAAAGAAAACTCGAACGACTTTGCCATCCGTGAGTCCCCGACCAGCGTCAAGGTATTCAAGAACTTCGTCGAGAAGCAAGGCGGCTTGGATGTCGGCTTCCAGGCGGATGGCCTGGCCGGAGGAGTGCTCCTCGGTGTCAAGGGCCAAGGAGGCATCAGCTTCTTCGATTGGGCGACAGGTGGCTTGGTCAGGCGGATCGAGGTGGAGCCTCGTGAGGTCTATTGGAGTGAGAGCGGGGAGCTGGTTGCCTTGGCCTGCGATGATACCTGCTACATCCTGCGCTTCAGTCGCGAGGCTTACCAGGAGGGCTTGCAGTCCGGCCAAGTCGAGGACGATGGTGTCGAGGCGGCCTTCGAGGTCATCACTGATATCAGCGAGGGCGTGAGGACCGGAGAGTGGGTGGGTGACTGCTTCCTGTTCACCAACTCCACCAACCGTCTGAACTACCTTGTTGGCGACCAGACATACACAGTGTCGCATTTCGACCAGCCCATGTATATCCTTGGTTACATCCAGCGCGACTCCAGGATCTACCTCTGCAACAAGGACGTCGCTGTCACCTCATTCGCCCTGTCACTGCCCGTGCTCGAGTACCAGACTCTGGTTCTCCGCGAGGAACTCGAGGCAGCCCAGGAGCTGCTTGCGGCAATTCCAGAGGGCGAGCTCAACAAGGTCGCCCGATTCTTGGACGGCCAAGGACACAAGGAACTCGCGCTAGACGTTGCCACCGACCCTGAGCACAAGTTCGAGCTTGCTCTTGCGCTGAGCCGGCTGGATATCGCGCTTGACCTCGCCAAGGAGGCCGATGTTGAGCATCGATGGAAGACTGGTAAGTTGTGTCTTTGCCTGACGATCGATATGAATAGACCACTAATAAAACGATTTCTAGTCGGTGACGCTGCTCTCACAGCTTGGGACGTTTCTCTGGCCGCCGAGTGCTTTTCACACGCCAACGATCTCGGCTCACTGCTCCTCGTTTACTCCTCAACCGCCGATCGCGAAGGTTTAGCATCACTTGCCAGCAAGGCCGAGGATGCCGGCGCCCACAACGTTGCTTTCTCCGCGAAGTGGCTCCTTGCAGATGTCGAGGGCTGTGTTAACATTCTCGTCAAGACCGAACGTCTCGCCGAAGCTGTGCTCTTCTCACAAACTTACAAGCCCAGTCTGACTGCGGACGTGGTCAAACAGTGGAAGGAGTCCCTGGAAAAGGGCAAGAAGGGCCGTGTTGCAAAGACGATTGGAGCCCCTGGTGCTGAGGGTGACGAGGAGCTGTTCCCTGAGTGGGACGAGTGGCTGCGCCTAGAGAAAGAGGGTGGCACAGCTACCGATGTGGATGTCGAGATGGAGAACGGCAAGCCGGCGGCAGAGGCTGAGAGCGAGGAAACTGCTGAGGAGGCAGACGAGAATGAGGAAGAGGATGCTGAGGCGGATGAGGAAGAGTAGTGCACTACCTCACCAGAAGGAAAAGTTGACGGTCAGGACATATCGTCGGGCGAGGCGGAAGTTTTGACACCGTCAGGCTCAAGCGACAATGGCCACGGCTCCAGATGGAGTCTGGCGCGGAGTGACTGGAGCGAAATCAAGCAGGCTTAGAGGAGTTTTAGTGGATCCCAAAATCGCGATTGAGGGAAAGGGTATAAAAGTTGTAGACTACCCAACACAGTAGGTTTAGCCACGGGCACAATCTGCACCGCTGGTTTTGATGAGCACCACTGGTGGATGGTTCAACGCGCTCATGTCAGGCCTCTAATAAACGAATATCTTACGACAAATTATGGCCCTTGGGCTTCCTGGGTCTCGCTGCTTGGTGCAGATGCAATTAGTAAATATCACAGCCAGGACAATCCTGACTATTTAAACCGGCCAGTCTTTCTTATTAAAGCTAGGCTGCGAAGTATATCACACGAGGGACGGAAGCTTGGCAAGTTGAGTGCCTGCAGTGTTGCTATTTGGAGGTCGAAAAAGTAATTTCCACCAGACGGCCTTTTCTAATCTTCTCATATCCGTGGCGACCTGTGACCCTAGGGAGGCCAAGCAAATGTTCCTGCACATCAAACTCTTCGGACTGAGCTATTGTCCTCTTTCTCCCCTCCTACTCGTTAATTCCGGTCTCTGAGGAGTGAAGAGCATCGCGGGTTGCCAAATGCGCCGCTTCAGAAAGTGAGACAAAATTGGGTGCTGTTTCACAAATCCTTCAAGCCATCTTCGATGGGAGCCAATCAAGCACCGGCATGAGGCAGTTTACTTAAATAGATGCTGTTGTGTCACCGAAGGGCTCCTGGTTCGGGTTGTCGAGACGCATGTGAGCTGGATGCTGACAAGCCACCACGGAACTTGACCTTTAATATACCGCAATCAGTCCTTCCCCATGGGTTTCGAGGTCAATTGTTTCTTCCCGTATAGATGGTTCGTTTCAACGTCTTCTCATTACAAGCGTGAATGACTCCCCAACTCCACTCATGGCCATGTCTCGCCCTTCGAACACAGCTTTATTTTTTCTGAATACTGCAGCCATCACTCGCCGAGTACAAAGTAGCAGTGCTGCGCCACCTAAAACGAAGAACTACATCGACACAATCTCGGGATACAATGAGCTATCTGCATGCGCCGTGAACGTTCTCAGCACCGTCGTGCGGGATGAAAACAGCGGCTGTCAAGATACATACGCTCTTACGAGCTACAGTTGTTTCTGCACCGATAGCAGCTCGTTCTTCAGCAATGTGATCTCAAGGGACGTGGTTTCCGGTTGCAACTCATCCATTGCAAGCCCCCAGGCCACGAGCGCTCTGAGTGTCTTTGATGCTTATTGCGCGCTGGGCGTGGCCGCCGGCCTGGTAACAACTCAGATCTGTAAGTCAACAGGGACGAGATCCAATCTCTATTCAGAACCGATATATGAGTTTGAACAGCCTCTGCCGATATCACGAGAAATCAAATCTGAGCTCCTCACTGATACCACGAATGAGCAGCTCCCACTGATGCTGGCTCCGCGTCACCAGCTGCGAGTGCCCCAACAACCTCGCCAACACAGACATCCGGTTCTGCCTCAACTTCGCCTCCACAGGGCCAATCGAGCAATATTGGAACAGCCATTGGGGCCGGCGTCGGTGTGGCGGCCGGCCTCATAGGGCTAGCTGTAGTAATATGGGTTATTTTGGAGGAGGAGATACCGCAAAGCTAAGGCGGCACGAGCACAACTGTCACAGGCACAACACATGACTGCGGCAGGCGGAGTGAGCTACGAGCGTGGCATCAAAGTGGGCAATTCTACCGAGATGCCTACGTATGAACAGCACGTGAGGGAGATGCAAGGTCATGAGCCGTCTGAAACCCCTCAACAACAAGCACAGGCAACTCCTGTATATTATCGGCCGCAAGAACTATCCGGGTCATATCCACGGGAGAGGAGAGACGGATAAATAGGACGGGTCTATCAATAGTGGAAATATGTGCGGCCAGAACGGTGATTTCGAGCTCTAGTTTCTACGCTCTTGGCAATGACGCAGAGGGAAACAGCGTTATCCTCTCGTGCTTGCGCAGTGAAATGCTTCGTCCAAGAAGAGGGCATCATGGCGCTGAAACCTCGCCGGACTTTTGGCTGAGCAAGTGAGACCAGGGAATCGTAGGTATTTCATAAGATGTCTACATCTAGTATTCTCAGCATTTTTACGGAGGAAAGCCTATTTCTCGGATCCATGAAATTGCACATTCGAATCAGTTGTGTCAGAGAGTGCCACACTCATTGATCATCGAGAAGGACAGCCCAGCAAGCAAACTCGTCCGTCTTCTAGGCATCAATTGGTACCCCCACACATATGGCGACATCTGGTGCAATGTTCCTCCACCGCTGCATCTTGACTGCTGGATCGTGGGTAACATCCCCAGGACGGAAACTTGTACGACATCCGAGCGACATCCGCAAGGTCATCTGCGCGACACTGTGGATAACTTGGCAATTGCTGTAGTTGCACGACAGCATTTGTCATTGGCATTGCATCACGCTATCGTTCATTCGCTATCGGCTTCGGTGTTGGTTCTGATGCATCAATCATCCCCTCACGATCGGTAGCCCACTGGGCCAATATGCGGTTGCGAATCTCGACTTGCGATTGCGTGCTGGTAGCCGGTTGTCGCAAGACGAACACCATTGAAATCCGAGCACACACGCAATGAAGGGAACGAAAGGGATACTATAAATATAGAGAACACATCCGTCTGTCAGTTAGAACTAATTCGCGACTTTCTCACATTCACACATACTGCACGTCCACTTAGTTCGAGTTGACGAGACAGAAACCCCAGCCGATCATCTCAGGCTTATACCGCATCTCACCATGGCTCCAGTTGCGACTTCGGATCTTGCCATCGGCTCTGGCCCGGCAGACAAGAAGTCTTTCCGGGAGCCGTTGAAGCTGAGCGGAGTGCTAGACAAGTTCACAACAGAGGACACAACGCCCGTGATCGGTCGCGAGTTTGTGAACGTCAACATCGTCGATGATATACTTAAGGCCCCCAACTCGGACGAGTTGCTTCGGGACGTCGCTATCACAAGTAAGTCACTATCCATCCTCGTGCCCGTTCTCTCCCACAGACCCGTTGACCACTCCTTCAGTTTCCCAGCGCGGCGTGGTCTTCTTCCGCGCCCAAGAAAACCTCACAGATGAGCTCCAGAAAGAGTTCGTGCACAGGATGGGCCAGCTCGTCGGCAAGCCGTCTAGCTCAACGCTGCACATCCACCCAGTCCTCAACAGCACATCGGAATTCGGACTAGGCGATAACGCAGTCAGCCACATCTCCAGTGTCGCAAGGAAGAAGCTGTTCCGCCACAAGGAGCAGCCCAACAAGCGCCGCTATGACGCCGCCCAGTGGCATTCAGACATCCAGTTCGAGCCGGTCCCCGCGGACTACACATCTCTCCGCCTCACCGAGCTCCCAAAGACGGGCGGCGACACCCTCTGGGCGTCCGGCTACGAGATCTACGACCGCTTCTCCGAGAAGTACCAGCAGTTCTTCGAGGGTCTCACGGCTACGTTCAGCGGCGAGGGCTTCCTCCGCGCCGCTGCGGCGGACCCGGATAACGTAAAGATCTACACAGAGCCGAGAGGCTCCCCTCAAAATGTCGGCGGGGAGTTGGTCGCCGTCCACCCAGTGGTGCGCACGAACCCCGTGACTGGGTGGAAGAGCATCTTCGCGCTGGGTCCCTTCCCCAAGAGGATCAACGAGCTCACCCAGGAGGAGTCGGACGAGCTTTTGCGAAAGTTCGAGAGGGTCCTGCTTGACAACCATGACCTTCAGGTTAGGTTCAAGTGGAGGAACCCCAATGATATTGGTAAGTGCGCTCGAAGATGCTTCTTGTGATGTTTTGTGTTATTGACATTATTACCAGCGATCTGGGATAACCGTAGCGTCTTCCACTCGGCCACAAATGACTACGAAGGCCTTGGAGAAAGATTTGGACACAGGACTGTTGGCATCGGCGAGAAGCCCTACCTTGATCCTAGCAGCAGGTCGAGAACGGAAGAGCTGGAAGGTCTTGAAGCTGAGAAGGCTTAAGAAGGAGGCTCATCCGGAAGGTAACGATAGATATACCGAGTATGGAGATTCTGGTGGGCACAACGGAAACACGAGTAGTATCAAGCAGTATTGGGAAACATAGTTGCTGCATTCATTCGCACACACAAAATACTTGGAACTGCCCCATTACATTTAATAGCCATTACCGACGCCCCATCTGGACGCCCCTCCTCCATTGTCACATTGATTTGCACAAATGTTCCGATGCCATCTCACGCTTGAGCTGCCTGAACGAAACTTTGGTGATGCTCAGGGTGACTCTTTTCGACACTGCCCTTGATCATCCTCTTCATGATCGCATTGCTATCGATGGCAATGTTCTCCTCGATCCGGCCGGAGGTGACGGACCACTTGCTCTCGATGTGGATGGAACCAGCCGGGGCCTTTCCGTCCACGGTGGCATCGATACCCTTGGGTTGGTTAACGAGGGTCAATTGGAATGTCGTTTCGCCGATCGGCCGTTTGTCGGTCACTTCGTAGACACAGGTCTCGCCGATGGCTGGTTCGCCGCCCGAAACCTTCTTGTAGTCGATAAGCTGGGGGCAGGTGACTTTGATGTAGACATCGTGGTTATGAAGGGAGGCAATAACGGCCTCTTCTTTGACGCCTGCAGCGAGAGGGGTGGTGATGGTGGCTTCAGAAGGCATCTTGACGTGTTCAGTAAGGCGAAATTATGCTAAACGTGCTTTGTGGATGATACAGGCGTAAATAAATGCGAATTCCGAAGATTTCAAGGTTGATGATATTCGATTGTCCTCAATTTGGTGCACATGGAGGTCCCTATATATATTATTGCGATCGAGACTGCTGTGTCACTGATCCTCGCATCATATCATGGAGAGGAGCAATTTAGCTTCGTTTTGTTCTTGAGGGCACAGGAGGCAGCCACGTCGGTTTGCATGCCATTGTTCGTTTCGTGTCAAAAGCCACAATGTTCGTATAACCTCCGCACTACCCCAGAACATTGGCATCTGAAACGCACCGCATGCATTCTGTTCGAGTGATAGCTGTCAAATGAAGCTTGTGCCCAGCAAGATTGCCTGAGCGTGTGATAGCTTTAGTACTAGTGTAGCTACGAGGGCCCGAGAGTCTGCCAAAGCTTCGTTTCCTAGGCCGTTTCACTACTTGCTTTGTCGAGATGGCTCTGCTGTTTTCCAATGTCATACCGTGAGCGATATGGATCCGCGGCCCTTAATAATATGTGTTGTGACAGCGGGGTGGGAATGTTCGACTTGGTTCATTTAGATCGACGAGGAATTGCTTCGTGCGGCAGTAGTCGAGTCGAAGGCTACGTCTAGTACTAGAATCAACCTGCGCTCAGACATATTCGTGTACACAAAGATAGATAACCCCAGTCGGTGCTCCGATGAAACAAACCATCATGAAAACCGCGCTAAGTCTGAGGCCTAGATTCTCATCGTAACACGAACCGAATAGATAAGAATGGGAGGCGGTTCCAAGCACGTGCTAAGTACTTCCTCCTCCGTACTCTTTTGGTTAGCGAGGATGTCACATTGGACATGGGCAGAATACAACATATCAATGTTCGGGAACGCACTGCAACATGGGGCAAATTGTAGACGCGGCAAAGGCTCAGCTTTGTCATTGGACTCGTCGTGGGAAAGAAGTGGTATCTTATTGTACTTGAACACTACCTGGCTGATGCAGTCTCGGAGGCACAAGCAATTCAAATCGGGCTGTAGCATTGTTTGGCCGGCCTTTGGGGTGAGTCCTTTCCCCATCTGACCTCGTTGCACAGCAGTGTTACACATGTGTGTTTCCATATATGATGCATGCCGTGGCGTGCCCACAACTTCAGTCCTTCGCCCCTCTGTATTGTTCTTTCTCCATAAAGCTACAGAGGCCTTTGACGATCTGAATGTGGGCGGCTGAACCAAGCGTTTCTCTGGCCGAACTTTTGACAAATACCTGGGTAAAGCACGTAGATGCCGTGGATCGGCTGCTCTCCCACCATCAAGACGTTGAGTTCGCAACATGTTGTCGGTGTGGTTGAGTCGGCGTATGAACGAATTTGGAGGAAACAAAGTGGTCTCGTTTTTAATCTGTATACATATGCTTCTTAAGCAATATGCATCCAGTCCCTTCATACAGTAATAAACACTTAAACACCCAGCATTAAAGAAAATACAATGTCGTCAACAGTAGGTTTCGAACACAATTTTGGAGGAAACAAAGACTGTGCTTATGTGAGAATGAAGTGATGTGACCCTGAAATGGCTGCGATCGATCTACATGTGATCTTGCAGATGCTGTGAAACCCGAGGCGGTCGCCAAGCATTGATTACTGATTACTCCGTCTGAATTGACAGACTGATAGTGCGTCATCCCAACAGGACCTCAGGCCAACTTTTGGGTCGAAGACACATGTGATGTCCTGTTCTACCGATGGCTCGTTCAGATGCTGTGAAGCTCATGACCAAGTGTTGCAGTCAAACAGCCAGTGAAGTTCAGTAATAGAACTCATTTCTTCACAGGGGCAAGCACTTTTCTCCGCTGCCGCATCATGTGATTGAACAGAGTCGGGGCGGCTATGATCATGTCAGCACGTCCGGGCCATCTCGCACCGGCGGAGATACTCACCCGGGATGTAAAGTAATGCGGCGGCAATGTAAGCCCAAGCGTGCGAGCGGTAGCCTAGTCTCCAAGCTTCTGACACGGTCTCATAGACAACAACGACCTCGCTGGCGATGCCTACTGGATACAATATGTAGAAAGCGCTGTAGCGAAGCCAGGTCAAGTTGCTGTACTGGTGGCCACCAACGAGTCTGGTAGCGAAGTACAGGTATCGAATTGCATCCGCGGCGCTCCAGGAAAGAACCATCAAGCCGTAGAATGGGCTGAGTCCAGAGGATTGGTAGTTCTCGATGACGAGCCAGAGGACTGTGCTTCGACCAGCAACTTGTACAAAGCTGGTGAGGACAGGAGCATTGACAAGACCTGCAGATCTATCAGTGAGGGGTGCTCATGGAAGACAACCAGGCTTGAGAGTACCTATGATGGAGTGCAAGATGTCCAGTGCCGCCAGGCTCTGGGTGAGCAGGGTCGTGATCCTCACGCTAGGATACAGGTACACCTCGCTCAAGCCGTTGCTCAGGGCAACCGCAGCGGTTCTGCCCAAGATAAAGGTCCAGAGCAGGGCCGAGATGGCATTGTAGCCAATGAGGTAGGCCCACTGGGGGAACTTGCCCTCAAAGACGCCCATAGCTCCAGTAGATTGAGGGTTGATGCTTATGATATTGGGCACTGAATGGGGCAACGTGTAAATTTCAACCGCGCTTAGTTCAGACGTAGAGCTGACGTTGGTTATCGTGATAAGAGAGATAGATGACCCTGGCAAACCCCGGCGGCCAGGGCCCACTTCCAACTTGGGACGACATCAGCCTATCTGTACCACAAGCCCGAACCGCAATGTCGACAACTCAGGGAGCACAACGTGACTTCAGTGTACATCTAATAAAGAACGACCAGGGCCTGACTGGCTTCCAGAATTTGTCAAATTTCTATCCCGTGGAGGAGCATTGGCTGAATGTACCAAAATGCGGATCCTGCTGATCCTTGACCAGAAAGAGATGCCTAGAAGGGCTCGTGCGGTCCTACCGTCGAGCAGCCGGCCCAATGCAATGGACTGGGAGATAGTCTCAGATAGTCTACCTAGGTATGTTGCAGCCTGGCTGGCCTAGCAGCATGGCAGACATGGTTATATCCACACCACGTGGCAGGGCGAATTACACTAGAAAATATCATATTCCTCGATCCACTCCTTGATATGCAGCTATGGGTGTTGTATGCGTCGACTGGGTTTCTGTGGAACCATGTGGTTTAACCGCGGGCCCAGAAGGGCGTCTGCTTGTCTTGTTGCACGGAGGCTCATCTGCTCACCTGCAGCTGTCGTATGGAGAATTCATCTGCATCGACACATGCCGGATGGGACCGGTCCATCCTCCCGAACGAGGAAAAGATCTAAAGCATGAGTGGACCACAGGAATCAAGCCAAATGCTGACATCCAAATTGTATCTGCTTGGGTCGCACTGCCAGCGGCCGCTAGCTCACGCAAGATGCTCTTTGGGCAGCACCAATGAAGACGGGGATTTTTCGCATCATGCAGCAAGCAGACGGAGACAGTGGGACTCCGCCAACAACGTTTGGACATCCCAAGGATCATGTGGATCCCCAGTGCTGAATAGAACGGCAACCTCTCGTAAATTTAGACCACAATCGTGGCTTATTCGCCGACAGGGTCTTTCTGTACCCTGGACTAGACTTCAGAGTCAACTTGCTACTGCTTACACCTGGAGCACTGGCGTCCCTTGGTTTCGACGAGGTTGCATTCACTCGGACTTGTAGACAGGATACTAGGGGATAGATGTATGGGGGGAAAAGCATAAATGAAGCATATCGTCCCTCTCGTCCGCCTGTATTCTCGGTCCCCGAGCTGTAAATTATCGTCTGAGAATTTGGAACGTTTTCATACGCAACATCGCAGCATTGCAACATGTCTTCCTTTTCCTACAGTTCCACAACATACGGGGTACTGGGTGCAGTACTCGTTCTTCTATACGTCCTGTACCGTGCTGCTCTCCCGAAACCGATCCCCGGCATCCCTTATCATGAGGCGTCCGCGAAAAGCGTGCTGGGCGATGCACTGGCGATGATTAAGCATAAGCATAAATATGCCACCACCTTCGACTGGATGACTGCACAGACCGAGAAGCTGAACTCGCCGATTGTTCAAATCTTCCTGAAGCCCTTCTGTCAACCAATTGTGATCGTAACGGACCATCGCGAGACCCAGGACGTGGTGTTGCGCCGCGCCAAGGACTTTGATCGCTCCACGTTCTTCAAAGGTACGTGCCCACGCCATAAGGATGCTCTCGGCACACAAAACCAACTGATATATCTACCAGATGCTTTCGGAGGAGTGTGTAAGTAGCTCGCAGAGGTTTTCGGGGGACCAGATCCCCTCTCATATTAAGCTTCTGTGCTCGGCGGGGCCTATAGGGCTAGTTCATGGGCACATAACAGTCTTGTTCATCACGACTTCATTGCAGCTTCTTCTTAACACCTCCATAGCTAACTCTAAAGCATGCAGTGCCGAATCATCACATCGTCCAGCCAACCAACGAAAAGTTCAAGGCGGGACGTCGCCTGTTAGCTGACACAATGAGCACTGGATTCCTTCAAAAAGTAAGACATGACCGCGATGTAGTGAGTTTGACCTCCTTTTGTCTGACATCTGGCTCCCACAGGTTGCAGCAGAATCTCTTCACCGGCATATACTGAATCTGATGGAACTCTGGCGCATAAAGAGCAAAGCTGCCAAGGGGCATGCGTTAGCGGTTGCTGAAGACATCAATCACATGGCCCTCGACTCGAGTAAGCATCGTGCTGACCATAGAAATACACTTCCAACACTGAGGTACTAATCTTGCTGTCACACTATAGTCTGGGACGTTGCATTCGGAAGCCAACTGCAATCTATATCGACCGAGATTGAATTCCTGAGCGCACTCCCCCAGTCCGACGTGCCTGCACGAGCGGACCAGCCAATGGTCTTCCCGACACCAGAGTACAACTCTGCCGTGAAGTCGATGAAGGTGATGACACACGCGCTTGACGCGGCAGTGACCTCGCCGATGCCCGTGCAGACTCACTGGCTAATATCAATCACGCCATCCTTCCGCCGCGCCCTGGCCCACAAGGACCGGCTCATCCGCGGGCGGCTCGAGGACGCCAAGTCCCGGATGCTCCTCAACCGCGCCGAGAAGGCGGACGAGTTCACCGACATCACCTGTGCAACGGACCACCTGGTCCGCCGGGAAGCCCAGGCCGCGGCCAGAGAAAACCGCGCCCCCCAGTACGACAGCCCAAGCGCCAGTGACGAGCTTTTCGGCTTCCTGATCGGTGGCCATGACACGACGGCGACCACGCTGATGTGGACGGCCAAGCACGTCGGCGCCAGCCCGCGCGTGCAGAGGAAGCTGCGCGGTATCATGCACCAGGCTTTCGGAGTCGAGGACGGCGTGCCCACGGCCGCGCAGATCAGCACGACCGACATCCCGTATCTGGACGCCGTGGTGGAGGAGATGGTGCGGTGCGCGAGCACGGGGCCCGGGATCATGCGGATCGCCACGCACGACACGGCACTACTCGGCCACCGTATCCCCGAGGGCATCAACGTCTTCATGATGTCCATGTTGGAATATTCTAGATATCTAGGCTATTATTAATACGGGATATCCTTTTCCCCATACATTTACCACTATATAGAGGATAATAACTATAAATAGGGGCCTTCCCTCCCATTAAATAAACATTAGCTAGCCTAATAAACTAAGCATTCAACGCTATTATTTAATAAGTTATAAGGCCTAAAGCTTACCTAAAACGGCAATGCTAACCCAATATAGAAAATAATTAACTTAATATAAAAAATATATATTACATAATACCCCTAATTGCCACTACTTTTTAAACCTTTTAAATAAAATAAGCTTTATACTTAGAAATATATCTTTTAATTAATTACCTAATTAAGCTAATTAATAAGCCCTTAATTAATTAAATCGCCCCATTTAATATTATAAATTAACCTTATCTCTTAACCCAAAGCCCATATATAAAAACCATACCTCCTTTACTTAAATACTTAACCATTTCTTTATTAATACTTAATTTATTTATATAATTTATATATTATTTAAGAGCCCTTATTAAAAATAATAAAAGCATTTCTTTAAAATTTAAAAACCATACTAAATTAATACTAAAAACGTAAATTTTAATGGAATTATAATAATTCTTAAATTCCCTTAAAAATACTTAACTATATTTTAACTATCTTTAATTCATAATACTTTAAAAATATATTATTTAAAAGCCCTTCTTTTTTTCTTTATAACTATATTACTTTAATATTTATATCTTTATTCCTTAACTTATTAAACTTATTTAAAATTTATTATATTTTTCTTTTTATTATCTTAATTATCTTAATAAATACTTTACTTATTTACATTAAAATAATATTTCTTAATAAATATAATATTTTATTTTTTAATAAAATGGAAAATTATATATATTAAAGTATTAAAATTTAAGCTTAGCTTAAGAAAGAAAATATTATTAAGAATAATTTTAAGAATTTTTTTTAAGGCTTATCTTTAGTTTAAAATAAAAAAGCCCTTATTAATATTAAACTTATATATAAGCAAAGGCTTATTATATTTATAAAAAATATAAATAATACTTAAAAAGCATAAAATATACTTAAATTTCATTATAAATCCTTTAAGTTTATAAGCTAATATTTACTTTATAAAGAGTTTTTTAATATTAATCTTAATAATTTTAAAATTATAAAAGAATATATTAATAAGCTAAAGCTTCTTTTAAAGGACTTAAAGGCTAATAATATAATTCTTCTTAAATAAGTTATAATTAGCTAAATTCTTTATAACTTAAATAATAAATATACTAATTTTATTTAAAATATAATTTAAAGTCTTAAAAAAGATTTAAACGCTTATATAGTTAAATTTCTTTTCTTTAGCTTATTAAATAAAAGTAAAGGGAAACTTTTTAAATTATTTAAAAAAGCTTTATATATAAAGGATAAGAAAAATAAGAAAAAGATTATTATATGCTCTAATTATAAAATAAAGGGCTATATTTAAGAGAATTGCTATTTCCTTTATTTAAATAAGGTACTTATTAGCTGGAAAATAAATAAATAAAGAAAAGAAAAGGAAAAAATTACTTTTTTAAGAAAGAATATAAGCTAAGAAAAACGGAAGAAAATATAAGAGCAACTCCTAACTTTATTAGCTAGCATAAAGTTTCCCATGGCTTTAAAAGGCGTTTAGAAAAAATCTATAACCTATATAGCTATAAATAATTTAATAGAAAATATTAAATATAATGAGAATTTATTAAATCTTTTATAACTTTCTTTTAATAACTTAATGGAAATTAAGGTAAATAACCCTATATATACCTTATATATATATAATAATAATAATAGTAGCTAATAATAATAAATTTATAGGAAATTAATAATATATAAATTCCATAAAAATAACCATAAATACTATTATAAATATAATAAGTTTTAAAGATATATGCCTTTTTAATATTATATATATAATTAATAAAATTATAAAATAAAGTAATGCAAATATTATATTTATAAATAAAATAAGGAACTTAATAATTAAGTTTTTAGAAATAAATATTATAAAAAGATTTTTTAATATATATTATATGCCTTCTTTAGGTTTAAATATACTTAAATATAAGTATATAAGTAATAAAATTAAATTAAAATTAAAAAAAGATATTATTAAATTATATTTTTAAGAAATAATAAGCTAATAACTTAAGGATATTAAAAAAACAGCTTATATTTTATAAGAATTAATATAATAAAATAAATAAATAAGCTTAAATATACCTTTTAAAAAATATATATAACTTAATAAAATTTAAATATAAATAATAAAAATAAAGAAGAAATATATAAATGGCATTATAAACTAAGCTATATAAATATTTAAACTTTAAAAATATTTCTTTAAAAATATAAAATAAATATATTAATAAATAAATTTATTTAAGAATATATAAGTAATTATAAAGTATGCTTAAAAGCTAAGCATATAATTAAAATAAATAAGATTAGCTTAAATAATTAAGTATATAATATACTTAAAAGAGTATATAGTAATATAAGCAGTTCCTTAAAACTTATATATAATAAATATAAATATTATATATTATTTCTTAATAAAAAAACTTAATATTTAAAAGTTTCTTTACTTAAAAATAAAGATAAAGCATTAAAAGCTTTTAATAATTATAAAAATAAGGTAGAAAATAAATATAATAAAAGAATAAAAGAATTCTTTATTAATAATAAAAGCAAATATATAAATAAAAGATTTAAAATCTTATTAAATAAATACTTTATAACTTACTATATAACGCCCTTATATATAAAAGAACTAAATAGCTTAATAGAAAGATTAAATTTAATTATAATGAATAAAGTTAAAAGCCTTTTATATATAGTAAATTTACCTATATATTTATAAGGAAAAGTAATAAAATATGCTATATATTTATATAATATTACACCCTATAAAAGCTTAGGGTATAAGTGCCCTTATAAGATAATAAATAAAAAAAAGCCTTATATAAATAACTTAAAATTATAGGGATTTATCATATATTTTTAAAATAATAATTATAAAACTAAATTAAAACCTAGAAATAAAAAGGGTATATTATTAAATATAGTCTTAGAATTAAATATATATTAAGTATGGAATATAAATAATAAAAAGCCTATATTAATTTAAGATGTTTGGATATTAAAAGGGTAATATATAAATAATAATAATATTAATATTAATAATAATAATAATAATAATAATAATAATAATAATAATAATAATAATAATAATAATAATAATAATAATAATAATAATATATATATATTCCCAGAATTGCAAGAATAAAGGAAAGAGAATAGGGAAGAAAATTCCCCTTTTATTTTAGATAAGATAATAGTTTAAGGGAATTCAGAAGATTATATATATATTATATAAGATACATTATTAAATAACCAAATATTTATATTAAATTCCTAAGAAAATATATTAAAATACTGCTTAACTGCAGCTAATATTAATAAACCTTTTTCTTTAAAAGAGGTATTAAATAATTTAGAAAAACCCTTATGGGTTAAATTTATGCTAAATAAAATATATAGTTTATAAGAATAAAATACTTATATAATAATGGATTTATTACTTAGCCGTATGGCTTTAAGGGGGAAATGGGTATATAAAAAGAAATTTATAAATAACCTAGCTATTATAAAGCTTAGTTAAATAGTAAATAATAAGAATAATATTAGATTTAAATTTAAATGGGTTATTTAGGGATATAACTAAAAATTAGGCATAGATTATTTAAAGACTTTTTTTATAGTTTGCCGCCCTAAGACCTATACTATGCTATTAATAATAGCAATAAATAAAGGATATTATATATATAGTTACAACGTTAAAAACGCGTTTTTATACTTTAATATTGATTTTGAAATATATATAAAATTACCCTCCTATATATATAATAAACTAAAATATAAAAATAAAGTTGTAAAATTAAATAAAGCTTTATATAAGCTAAAATAATTACCTATGTTTTGGTATAAATACTTAAAAAATATATTAATTAAGCTAGGATTTATTATTTGCTTATATAACGAAGGGGTATTTATATACCTTAATAAATAAATTATGCCATTCTTTTAGAATGGTTTTATATCCCGTCCAAGGGATAAGCTTCAAACCCATCTCCCACCAAAAAATATTAATTCTCTCTTATAGGAAACCTAATATATGGGAATATTCTCTGAATTTTTCTCTACGTAATGATATTAGTTGCATAATCTAAAACCTTATATTTATTAAGAAATAAATTAAAAAAGGAAAGTAAAATATTAGGGATTTATATGGCCTTCCTAGGAAAGTATTAACATTACTTGGATCTTTAAATTTAATTCTTTTAATTAGTTGATTTTTTCCCTGCATGCAGGGTAAGCTATAATAAGAGATAAGAGCTAAGGGATAAGAGCTAAGAGATAAGAGATAAGAGATAAGAAATAAGAGATAAAAGATAAGAGATAAAAGATAAGAGATAAGAGATAAGAGATAAGAGATAAGAGATAAGAGATAAGAGATAAGAGATAGGATAAGAGATAAGATAAGAGATAAGAAATAAGAAATAAGAAAGGTAGAAAAGAATAAATAAATAAATAAATAAATTAATAAAATTAAATATATAGGAATATTTTTTAAATTTTTCTTTATATAGTAATATTAATTATATAATTTAAAATCTTATATTTATAAAGAAATAAATAAAAATAAGAAGGTAAAATGTTAAGAATTTATATAGCTTTCTTAAGGAAGTATTAATATTATTTAAATCTTTAAATTTAATTCTTTTAATTAGCTATTTTTTACCCTATATATAAAATAAGCTATAATAAGGGATAAGAAATAAGAAATAAGAGATAAGTAATAAGTAATAAGAAAGAAAGAAAGGAATAAATAAATAAATAAATAAATAAATAAATAAATAAATAAATAAATAAATAAATAAATATTCTTAAGATATAATTATTTAAATAATAATTATTATTTTCTTTAATAATAAATAA